TAATACCTTAGTATAGCCTTTAGGTGGTCGTGATAAACCCTGCCGTTAATTAAGGGCTTCGGTGACGTTATAGCCTCTTTTTTAGTATTTAAATAGGTATTTATTTTAGTATCGGCTACTCCGAGGATTATTAAATTAAGGTTTAAAATCCCTTTTAGCCCGTCCTAGCGCTCTTCTTATTAATTAGATAAGAAAAAGGTATAAGTTAAAGGTACATCTGGCTTTACCTAATATATCCGTGGATTAATCCGAATAGTCTTTCCTTAAGCACGGCGATCGGTGATTCTTATACTAACGCGTGTTACTTCCTTTACTAGTATACTCTTTTTCCTTTAGTAGGCGGTCACCTTAGGAGTTAGTCGGATAAGTAGTCTAGATCCGGACGCTATAATACGGCTAATACTATAGTACGGATTAAGGGTAGCTAGTCCCTATACTATCGCCTACGTACTCCATTTTATAGTTAAAATCGTCGAAGTGTCCGTATTAAGCTCTAGTATATATAATTCTAGCGTATCGGTTATGGTATCTTCTTAGGTAACCGCTTTATTATCTTATTAGTTGGAAGAATTATTAATTAAGAGTTCCTCCGAAGACTACGGCTCTACGCTTATAACCTAAAGATTCCTGCTCTAAGGATTAAGTATTACGCGTAGGGTTTAAAGTCTTATCGCGGGCGGTTCGGGTATATTAGGTGTATTTAGTAATAGCGATAAAGCGTTTAATTTAGCCTTTACTACTCTTACCCTCGAGTTTAAACCCGTGGACTATACTTATTCTTTAGAAGATACGCTATTAATTAATCTACTTGGAGGGTAGGCCTATAGGATAAAGTCGTTATCTTTATCTTCTTATATTTTATAAGTTATAAGCTAGTTCCTCGCCTCGGGCTCCGGGATCTATTCTACTTCTTTAAGCTATAGTTTATAAAATAGCTACTTATTAAACTATATATTACGTATTATAATAACCTTCTAAAGCTATAGAATCTATACTCGGTAAATATTATAAGTAACGTAACCTATAAAATACCTAATATATCCCCTTAGTTAAACCTTATATAGTTCCCTATTCCTCCTAGCCTCCTTATCCCTCGCTATTAGATAGGCTCGGTAGCCGTCGGTATAAATACTACTCTAATTAGGGCATAGGTCGGCTATATATTCTCTTACTAGAATCCGCGTATTATCTCTAAACTATAAGTTAAGGATTTCTATTAAGGATTTCTATCCGTATCGTTATAAGGGACTTATATTATATAATAACGCTACCGTTTTAATGCTTTCTGGCTATTTATCTAATAGAATTCTTACTCCGTTAAGTATAGTATTAGACTTTATAATAATTAGTTACCCGGCTTTTTCGCTACCTCCGTTCGGTTTATAGATATAAGGCGGTATAATTTCTATATCGATCCCTTAACTACTCGCCTATAGCTAGGTTATTAAATCCCTTACTAGATTAACGATTAAGGGCTTATTATTACTAGGTATCTTATAGATATATAATATAAACTACCGGTTAACCTATTATTTAAAGGCTTATAATGCGTTATAAACCGTAACACTGTTTTTCGAAGCTAAAGGCAGCACGTAGATCTAGCCGCTATATTCGTCCTTTATTATAAGAAGATATTGTATACCGTTATAGCTCTTGGGTAGCTCTTAAAGATCCTAATAAATACGCTAAAACGGTTATAAGGAGCGGTATTCTAACGTGTATCGAGATATAACTTAATATACCTAGGTTCTAGAGTATATCTTATAGTCTATCCGCTTAGTTCCCTTAATTAACACGTTCCTAGCGTTACGAACTAATACTCGTAGAGCGCTTAGTCTAAGATAGCCTACTCTTAAGTGCTATAACTATTCTTCGTCGACTTATAGACGAGGAGGGTTACGGGAAGGTTGGTAATATCGGTAAGCTCTTATTAGTCGATCGATTACTATAACTAATATATATTAATAGTCGTAATTAATCGGAATAACACTATATAATATCGGTTAGAATAACGAATAAGAAGAAGAAGATAAAATTAGCTTATACTAAAGGATAGTTATATTAAAGTATCGAAGTAGCTTTAATAAGACTACGCTCTTCTCCGCTATTCTAAAGTGTAATAAGCAGTTATAACCCGAATACTAGATCCTAACCTTATATAATAGAGCTTCCGATATAATATTCATGTAAAATCCCTTTATAATAACTATATCGTTAAGTTCTAAGTTAGCTTTCGGAGTACCTAAAGGTTTATTAAGGATTCCCTTAAAAAGCCGTTTACCTTTACTAATAATCGGAAAGTCGGTTATACCGGATTCGATAGATCCTTTTATAGGAATAAAGGAACCTAGAATAAGTAGGTTAATTAAATTAATAAGGTAAGTTACGTCGTAATTATTAAGAAAAGTACTCTATAAGAGCGGGTAGGGGCCTAGTCAGAGCGCGGTATAGATCCTAAGGACCTCTTTTATAGTATAGATAAGGGCGGGATCCAGGATAGTTATAATAACCTTTCTAGGATACCTAACTCCCTTACTACTACTACTCTCTAAGCTTTCCTATCCCTTTTTCGATAGTTTTTCGCGTAAGCTCTTCCACTTTAAGAGCTTAATCTCCTTCTATATCTCCTTATACTACTTATTATTAATATAGGTATTAGATCTCTGCTTGTATTTTCCGGTTAGAGTGTACTCTAGCTTATTATAGTGCTCTGGCTTCTAAGTGTATTCGCGTTGATAGGGGTAATTAATACTCTTCTTCTTAGGCTTTTTTCCGCCTTTATTATTATCTAAGCGGTCTCCTAGGGTCGCGTAAACGCCGTGGCGTATTCTATCTATAGTTAGAGCGCTTATAATAGCATTAAACTCGCGGCCATATATTAAAAGATTGGAAATCTTATCGCTATAAACCTCTTTTATTATTAGCTCTTAAAGCTTAGTTTCTGCCTAAATAAGCGTAAACTTTTATCTAACTATTATAAGAAAGTTCTGAATAATAATAGGTCCTTTAATCTTAGCTACCTTTTACTAATGTACGTGTTTAATAAGGGTATTCTACTCCGTATACTATATAGCCACTTTAATATTAGCTCGATAAGCGTCTTATAGATACTTTTTATATACTTATCTTACCTTTTCCTTTATATCAATACTGCTTAGAGCGAAGCTACTCTTAAGTTCTTTTATTACGTGGCGTAATATAAAGTATCGATTTTATTTTTCCTCTTTATAGCTAGGATATTTTTTAATAGCCTCTTCGATAGCCTATTAATAGGTAGAGGTCTCTACGGTAATTTTAAGTAGTTAATTAGCCTTATCGAGCGCTCTAATAAGGCGACTAAGCTTTTAATTCTAGGCTATAGTCTACTAATTCTTAATTTCGGTAAGGCGTATAAGCTCCTACGTTAAAGGTATAATAGTATTATCGCCCTCGTCTTAGGAATACTATTCGCGTAGTTAATCCAGGGATTTAAGTATAATATACTTAGGATAGTTATCTAGCTAATCCTTTTAGCTAGGATCGAGTAGTGCCTAGACCTTTATCCCTTATATATACGACTAGATATAGAAGATCTAATCGGTCTATTACCGCGTGGATTTAAGGCGCGGGATACTAAGCGCTTTAGCCGTGATCTTAAGCTTATTCGATATAGTATCGAGTAAGAGTTTAGCGAATAAAAGCTTATTATTAGGAGAGAGAGCGTAGGAGGGCTCCGTAATACTATAGAAGTATATAAAAATAAATATAAATAATAGATTAGCAGGAAGTTACTGGTTACTACTACTACCCAGGCTTATAACTATTAAATTAATAGGAGTATACTTATAGGGAGCGTTAATTCAGGAAATATATAATTATATTATCTATAAAAGAAAAAGAAAAAGGGGGCGGGTATACGTGTCCTAAATATATCTGCCACCTTCTAAGCGAGGATAATAGGGCACCTCTAACTAATAGGAGAGCACTATACCGTGGCTCACGTGATAGAATATAATAGGAACGCCGGTTCGAAACTACCTCAAGGTACGACGTTCTTCGTACGCCTTTTTGCCCTGAGGAAAGTCACTATCAAGTCGGGTTCTTCGTAAGGTACCTTATCTAAGGTACGCAGAATTCGGACATACACAAACGAGGTATCGAGCACATGGAAGCATGTACGGATACAATATGGAGTACTTCGTCGTACTGTCTGTCGGCTTAATGGGTGTGCCCTGAACTCGAAGCACGACCCTTCCCACATATGGGTACCTGGTACCTGTACGCGTACGGATAAGCTCTATCGCACTAAGGTACACTCACTTACCGACACGACAGCCTTACCCAAGTCCCATCCACCAACATCCCCGCCAGTTCACTCCGGTTGAGATTCAAGAAGCACGCAATTTTCCCGTTGTATTTGCAATACAATCATCCCATTTCTCGGAGTACTCACTACAAACTGCCCCATGGAAACGCGAACATTCGTATACCTTACTCGGATGGATACTTTAAACACTTACTAAAACCTACTCGGTACATTTTCCTCGTTCCAGATGCCGTACACGACTTACGACTTGACTTACGACCATATCCCCGGATCGTTTATTACCTTCTGCGTCTGCCCCCCATCTGCAACAGAGTGGAAATCCAATTTCTCTTCTCTTTCGTTAGCACCAACACCATGTTGCATTACACGTACTATCACCGGGCAGCGAAGACCGAGCGACGATCAACGACAATCCCACTCGCATAGTGACGGGGACCCATCCAACCATCACCCCGCGGCGTGCCCGAGACACAGTCCAAGCTGCTGTTGTGTGCATGAAAGGGTCATCTTCCTCCACCATTGCCGCTACGGGTACCAAGGGTGCCCCCAAGACCCTTGGCGTGGATTCTCTACCCTGCCTGAACCTTGCTCAAGGATTTGTTCAGCTTCGGCAGTGACCTGTGCCGCTCGTTTTGACCTGGGAAGACGTAATAAGAAACCCGTGGTCGATATATTACCACTTCCTTCGACCCAGACGACTCGAAATCGGCCTCTTCGCCCAAGAGTTCGTTGCTTAAATAAAACCGGGATCGCGGTCGAGTGTCGATCTTTTTTCCCAACTTCCCTTTCCTTCTCCTTTTCTCCCCCTTCTGTTTCCCCCCTCCTACTCTCTTTCTTCGTCTTTTTATTTTTATTTTATTATTCTTTCACGTCGCTACTCTTTGGTGGACGTTCGCTCTCCAACAACCTCTCGACCGTCCTCGAATTCGAATCGTTTGTCTGGAGAAAGGGTCGCACAATCTCGACAAACAGAAATCAGAAAAGAAAAGAAGAAACCTCGGGAATTGGGACTCTCCTGGCCCATTGCGTCTCGACCTGACCTGCTTTCTTTTCTTACCATAACGATACGTCTCTTGACCTACCCCCTCTCCTCCCGTCCACTCGGTAAACCGCCATGCGTGCCTTGGCCGTCCTCAAGAAGGTCGGCGGATGGTTGGCCCCTCCGCCCGCCAAAGCCGCCGATGGCCGCGATCTATGGCCCTCCCGGGCAGCCTTCTTGCTGGCGTCCATGGGCGGATGCGCCGGCATGGGAAACCTGCTGCGCTACCCCTCTCAAGTCTACAACAACTATGGCTTGCAGTGGTTCATCCCGTACCTCATGGCCGTCTTCCTCATCGCTATCCCCGTCCTCGTCCTCGAAATCGCCATCGGCCAGGCCCACCGAGGCGGCACCGTCATCGCCTTCAACAGCATCAACCGGCGCCTCAGGGGCACCGGCATGAGTCTGCTCTTCATCGGCTTCGTCGTCGGTCCCTACTTCACCGTGAACCTCGCCTGGATCATGACGTACTTTCGCTACTCTTTCCACAGCCCGCTGCCTTGGGCGGGTCGCGGACAGGAATTCTTCGATGACAGGGTCATCATGAACCCGGTTCCCATCGAGGCCAATGCCAGCGCCTCCGGCTACCGCGAATACCCCGGAATCGCCATGTTGGGCGAGACCACCGGCTGGATGGTCTTTACCTGGTTCCTGATCTGGCTCTGCATCTTTCGCGGCGTGGGCCTGACCGGCCGCGTCGTCTACTTCACCATGGGCCTCCCAATCATCATGACCGTCGTCCTTATTGGTCGTTCGCTTTCACTTGAGAACGCGGGAGAAGGCGTGAAGCTATTCTGGGCTACTTGGCGAGGTTCCTTGCTCGGCCGTGGTGAGATCTGGCAGACGGCTTGTGGACAGGTGAGTCGCGACCCCTCCCCCCCCCTTCTTCTTCTCATCCGCCCTGTCCCCCCTGGCACCTGGCGCTTAGTTGCTAACATCTTTGTTCCTCCTCTTCCACTAGGTGTTCTTCTCTACTGGTGTCGGCTTCGGCTACTTCACTTCATACGCCTCGTACAACCGCAAACACTCGAATGCCGTCGTCGACGCCATTGCCATTGTCAGCAGCAACGTGGCATTCGAGAACATCGCCGCCTTCGCCGTCTACGGCGTCGTGGGCTTCACCCGGATGTGGCCCCAGGAGGGCGTCCGTATCGGCGGCTTCACCATCGGTTTCCAGACCCTACCGCTCGCCATGGTAGAGATGCCGGGCGCCAACTTCTGGGCCATTGTGCTCTTCTTCACCCTCATGACCCTCGGTTTCAGTTCCGCGTTCGCAATGCTGGACGCCGTCGTCACCATGGTCATGGACTCCGGCATTAAGACCCCGCGCCCGGTCGTCGTCACCGCCCTCACCGTCCTCTCGCTCATGCTGTCGCTCCCGTACTGCACCGAGTTCGGCTACTGGCTGCTTACCGGAGTGGATCGCTGGGTGAACGACGTGGCCCTCGTCTTCGTCGTCTGGTCCGAGTGCGTGACCTCCACCACTGTCTACCGCTGGAAAGATGTGGCCGGTCAGGTTGGCAAGCCTGCGTTCTGGACGTACCAGTTTGCTTTCTTCGGTGGACAGATCTTTGGCGTGATTGTGGCCCAGGCCGTCGCGGCCGAAGTGGGCGCCGGCGTCGGATTCGGTATCTACATCATCGCCGCCGTGGCGGCCGTTTTCCTTGCGAAGACCCCGGATGTACCCGCTCCCTCCTTCTGGGGTAGGAATGCGTTCCTGGCCCGCTTCTGGTACATGGCCTTCTATTCGGTAAGCATTGGCTTCTCCTGCCTTCGAGTTTCCATGGTTTGCCCTTTGGTTGCGTCCTCCCCGCCCTCTAACCTCTTCTCTTCCACTCCCTCTTAGGCCGAGCAACTTCGCCGCGACCTGAACGTCATCGTCGGCTCCGGCAAGAACTGGGACATCCCCGTGTTCTGGGGCCCTCTGGTCAAGTACATCGCCGCGCCGATCCTCGCCATCGTGTACAGCTTTTCCTATCCCGCCTTTTACGCCGAGGGCCGTCGCGACCCGCTGCACATCCTCGGCTTCGGTATCGCTCATATCGCGCTGATTATGATTGTGCTCGGCTTCATCCTCCCCCGATGGTTCGACGTCTTCATTCCGCCCCAGCGCCGCAACGAAGGCAGGACCGACTATGCCCCGCGTGTCACGCTGGGAATCTTGGACGCCGAGATGACCGACCGGCTGGAGTCTGGAAGCGGAAGCCAGGATGACGCCGCCGTGGATGGGCGGGAAAAGAAGGACGACAGCCCGCCTGTCGCGTCGGCGGATGAACTCTCTGAGGAGAAAGTCTCCGCTACAATAACATAACTCTTTATTTAGTTGGTGAAGGGCTAGAGATTTGTGGGACTGTCTTCCAAGTTCTTCTTTTGATTTTATATTCGCGATACATACCCCGAAGATGCACCTGCGCCTTGTAGAGGCTTGAAACGGTTTGCAAAGCGCAAGCCGTTTATCTAGCAGAGAGAAAGAAGCCTGCACAGCAGAGGGTCGGTGTTTTTTTTTTTTTTTTTTGGGAGCAGCTACTGGGATTTTTGGGGCGTAAGGTCACATGTTTGGCTGGCCGTATGCTTTCCTCGTTGCATTGGGACTTGGATTTGGGACTGGTCTTTTCTCAGGATGGCGTGCGCCTTTATCGTCAAGTCCAAACCCCTCGTGGCTTCACCTCCTTCGGTTTTTGAGGGAGGACATCATGATCAATTCTAGTTTCCTCGCCGCATTGGCGGCGTAGGGAACAACATCTTGTTGATGCGTTCTCGCCCCATCGCCCTTGCTTTCCCACAACCTCCAGATATTAACCACCCTTCAGCATGTTGCGCCCTCTTGGTGCAGGAGACACCAATTAACTTCCTAGGACGAGAGGGAAGCCTCGACAGCTGCCACTTAAAACGCTGACATATCCCCAGAGGGGAGGTTGCAGAGTAACCATCAGGCCCCAGACCCAGCACCAAGCTACCCACGAGCTTTATATACCTGCAGCATAGTCCCCCGTATGACACCGGTCCACGACGAAGGAACCGATGAGCAGACTGAAGTGCCGTACGACTGTGGCTGGACTACCCATTTCTCTGGTTCGTGTAGACGATGAGAGAGACGGCGTCCATGGTAAGTTCCAGATCGCAGCCTATCTGTCTGTTGGTAGTAGTCACATGCAGTATCTCGACAGACAACAGGCGTCCCTGATGAAGATGACGACAGTCAGGGTAGGTGAGTTTGCTCCTCGTGCCATCAGTTAAGATGGAAAAACAAGCTTGTCGCAGACCACGATTTCCCCGTTGCCTAGGTAAAGTGGTGTTTTCCGTTCCAAGAGTCGAGTCCTCACTTCGGATCTGTTCCTTCCAACCACATCCCAAGGAATGCATGTGTGGGTGCGCGCTCACTACGATTCTCCTCGAATAGGCCCAGGATATTGATATTGTACCTGGACTGTGGATGAATGGAATACGATTACAAAAGTCAGTTTTCATTTCGTTGTTTTGAAAGCTGGCCTCCCTCCTCCCTCAGGACGAACCCGCATATGAAGCATTGCAGATTATCACCATGCCTGGCCCTATCTCCCAGGCTCTACTATACAAATGTCTACGGAGCTAGGTACAGCATAGCTGAGCAGTCTACACGCGGAGTATCTCTCCCGCCTTTCTTCATCCACATAGTAGTCCGATACCAGGGTGTTTCATTCCTTCTTCCTTCCTTCTTCCTTTTCTTTTTATTCTTTCTTTCCCCTCTTCAATCATTAGGTTCTAACCTTTCCGTCGCAAGAGACAGTGCCGGCCCCATTTCCTCTGATACCTCTCCGGCACAAGCGGCGAATCAGGCACCCAAAGCGCGCGGGCCAAAACATGGGTGTTGGCGGCGTCGAGGAAAGGAACGCACTTGACAATGGCCCACTTCTCCTCGTCGGCGACGTAGTCGGGTTCGTTGGGCGGGAGCGCGCCGGTACGTTCGGGGTACTGGGTGTCGACGAGGAAGGAGCAGGTGCGGAGATCGACGTACTTGGACGGGTCCTCCTGGTTGCGGTCGTTCATCCCGCTGGTGGGCAGCCAGGTGCCGCTCCAGAAGCCGAAACCCGTGCCGGCCTCGGAGAATTCGCCCGGCAGGAGGCCGCGGAACTCGGAGCGGATGAATTTGGCGTGCATGTCGTCGGGGAGGAAGTAGGAGGACGGGAAGCGGTGCCACTCTTTGCCGAGGCAGACGAAGTCGCCGTAGTGTCCGCCTACGCCGCCTGCGGATGTGGGGATGGCGAGAGGGGCGTAGATCTCGAGCGGCGCAGAGTACGCGGTGACTAGGCCGTAGATGCGGGCGAGAGCCACAAAGGCGGAGAAACCGAGGACGGCGAGGACGGAGAGGGCTCTGAGCCGGGCGGGGACCTTGCCGAGGAAGGTGCCCGCGCTGACACGGCCGAGGGAGGTGAGGATGATGTGTAGGGCAATGGCGCCGTTGAGGGCGAGGAATGGGTAGGCCGGATACATGAATCGCTCCTCCTTGTGGGGCTGGAGGGTAAAGATGGCGAGCCAGAGGTAGAAAGGAGCCATGAAGACGAAGAGGCGCAGGCCCGAGCGGACGTCTTGCGAGGAGGGCGCCACGATCTTGCGGAGGAGGAAGATGGGGAGGCAGAGCAGGGCGAGGACAAACCAGATGTTGAAGTTGAGGAGCAGGTTACGGAAGTAGAATGTCCAGGGCTCGGTTCCGTAGAGGTCGGGACCGCCGGTGTCGCCGAACACGTTGTACTTGACAATGTTCCAGGGGACAATCTCGATGTGCCTGTAGAAGAAGGTGTTGACACCCGAGTCGACCAACTGGGGCCATCTTTCTCAGCACTTATGACATGCGAAGTACTCGGAAGTTTGAAGGGAATATATAACGCGTTGGGGAAGAAAAGAAATAGGAAGGGAAAAAAAAGAAAAGAAAAGGGGGGGGGGGGGGGGGGGGGGGGGCAGGCGAACATACCAAAAGGATAAAACTGGCCGCCACACCGCGCACAAGGCGGTGGATGGCCTCGATAGAGCTCTCAGGGTCCCCGATGAATGCGAGAAGCAATTCCTCCAAGACGAAAGGGATACACAAAGCAGCGGCGAAGGGCCAGCCGAAGACCGCGCCGACGGCGAACCAAGTGATGCCCTGAGCGGTCTTGACACCTCCGCGCCAGTTCATGCAGGCGGCGGCGCCGAGCATGGCGGCGTACATGGCGAAGCTGGAAGGGAGGAAGGCGGTGCTGGCGTGGAAGTTGCCGGCGCTGAGGACGGTGGCCAGGAGGAAGAAGAATCCAATGCGGGCATTGACGGTGGTGCTGACGACACAGTAGAGGAGGGTCTGGCAAACGGCGCAGGCCAGAGCGAGGCCGTAGCGGATGAAATAGAACTCGGCGACCTTGGTCGGTCGGGGCAAGAGACGGCGGATATTCCCCACGACGGCATGGAGGGCGATGTACAACCAGCTGCGGATGGCATATGTCGGGGAGTATTCCCAGGTCTGAAGGCCGTAGCTGTGGGACAGGTAGTGGGTGGGTTCGTAGTAGTTGAAGGTCTCGTCGCAGTCTTGGATCGGGGCGAACCAGGCGGACACTAAGCCGGCGAGGAGGAAGCAGTAGAAGGCGAAGCTGGGCGCTATTGCATAGGGACTCGAGGATCTGTAGATTTGCACAGGCAAAGGAGTTAGTACGAGGAAGCTGGACTCGCGACAAGGGAAGGTGATTGCGAGGTGAAGGTCCGGGCGTGGGGCATTGGAATAGGCGCACTTTCGTTTGGCATGGCTGGCAGCAGGGTGGACGTATTCGCGCCGCTGTTGATGTTGCGGAGCTTGAGAAGGCATGTTTGCGACCTTCACTGTGAATTGGACACTCGAGAGAAGAACCTGGGTCTGCGAGTGGAGGAGAAGACGAGGCTCGAGTGGTTGGTTTTGCATCCAGCGTCTCAACGTTTCTCGTAGCTTCCCCAACTTGTCCCGCATTTCTCCAACTACAGTACTTGGATACGTACCTTACACTGTCCACAACAACGGTAGCATGCCTTGCATTGACACTGTGCTTTCGTGTACACAGGAGGACAGGTAGCACAGTTTGAACCAATGGCTACCACGCTGTGCAACCCCTTGGCTCGAGTTCCTCAGGACGGACTTTGGCTGGGCCTTGGATAAGGTAAGGTACCTAAGGTAGCTAGCTTGGGTTTGACTCGAGGTGGTGACGAAATGTGACTGAAGGCGGCGGTCACAAAGGGGCGTAATGGCAATTGGAGAGAAGGTAATGACGTCGTCGCTTCCGTGCAACAGTTAACAAGCTAAAGCTACCTTACCCGTACACTTAATCAAAACGAAGGAGGTCTTTCCCAAGCTCTCCACGTCTTCTTCTTGAGTTTTGAATTTCTCTCTCTCCAGTCCCAACATTATCGGCTTTATTCACAATCCCCTCCCTATTGTGTTTTCTTCTTCATCAACTCACAATAGCCACCCAGTTCAGCTTTGACGGCATTCATAATAAGAGAATCCGAGGAGGAAAATAGCCCAAACGAAAGAAGAGTACGCAAAGAAAACTCGGTAACACGCACAGGCAAGGACGATTCTGTCGACTCTAGGTGGGCCTGGGCGGCTGTTACATAAGAAGGAATCTTTATCACGCTTTCAGCCGCATTTCTCACAAGGGATTTTGCATGAGAACCAAGCTAAGCCACATCCGTCCCGACCCTTGACCTCACCGACCTCCTCCACAGGCTCAGCACCCGCCACCATTTTGTCTACCCTGTCTATCGGGCACTTCAGCTAGGCTAGAATATTTCCACTTTCCTGCCACCTGCCCGATATCCGATTTCCCGACAAGGCTTCAACGCTCATCACCATCACCGTCATCATCACCTTTTTATTTTCTGGTGCTGCCTGCAAAACTCCCGCCTGATTGTCGCCTCAACTCACAACAGCCGGCACAAATTCCTACTTGCTCTTCGAGCTATTCTTGGGTTATTTACTTGGTCCTCTTCAACCCGACTGGACTGTCATATCTCGCTCGATACGTTACTATGGCGCCCCCTCCATCTGCCGACCTTCCTCTGTCTCAGAGGCTGCTGCAACTTGCGCAGACCCTGCAGTGTATGCTCCTTTGCCCCTATCCCGGCTGTTTGGCATCTCTGTTCCTCTGTCCCTGTTCGATGCTAACCCGAATGCCTTGACTAGTCGGTTGGTTTGCTGGGTATGTCTGATTCCCTCCCTCTCTGCCTCGACCGTCTCGCTTCTGCGACACGACACGCACAATCTTGATCATCCACAAAATGTTGTCCCCAACGCACTGTCGCGTCCACTGCTGACCGCAAGCTACCAGACACTTTGTCCTCATCCTCTGCACCTTCCGCTACTTCCTATCGTGGGTTCGCATGAACTACTATTCAGGCATAGCCAAATTATCCTACCGAACTGCCTTTTTCGCCGCGGCCGTCACCTATGGCATTGTCGTTTACAAGACTTGGAGGGCACGAGCTCGTGCCGGCGCCAAGAATCTCGCCCATCCTCTCACCATCATGGGTGACGAGAACGTCCAGTACCTTGGTGAGTTGCTTTTCCTCCTTTCCTTGCTCCCTCGCCTTTCAAGAACCTATCTGACCGCCTCTTTCACTTTTAGGAATGGCTCTTGTGTGGCTTCTCTTCCCTCAGTACCCTCTTGCTCTGCTGCCCTATACCATCTACTCGATCTTCCATGTGGCCACCTACTCTCGCGCCAACCTGATTCCCACCCTTAGCCCTCCCAAGCCCGTCCCCGCAGCAGCGGGCGCCTCCCCCAACGGAAAGCCGCAATATGCCCCGAACCCCATCGCCGAGAGGATCGGCGCTTTCGTCAAGCAGTACTACGACTCTTCCATGTCCATCGTCGCGAAGCTCGAGCTCGCCCTCTGGCTCCGCGTCTTCGTCTCCGCCCTCCTGTTCAAGCGCCGCTCCTGGATCCTGATCGCCCTGTACACCGCCTTCGTCCGCGCCCGGTACGCCCAGAGCTCGCACGTGCAGAACAGCGTGGCCGAGCTTGAGGCCCGCGTCGATTCGGCCATCGGCAACCAGGGCACCCCGCCTCAGGCGCGCCAGGTCTGGGAAGGCATCAAGAATGGCGCTCGTCAGTTCTACGTCCATACCGACATCAACCGTTACCTGAGCGGTGCTTCGGCCCCCAAGAAGACCTCTTAGGGTGGCTTTCGCAGGATCGACTCCCGCATCCGGAGGCGTCTTGCGTCTTTTGGTGATCAAAAAAATAAAAAAAGATGCCACGTACTCCCAGACCAAAAATGACATGGTCCGTGCATGGGGCCCCTCCGATAGTGGATAAGGGAACGGAGCGGAGCGGTGTACTTTAAAACACATGCGACTATGTGAATGGGGCCACGACGCTATGAGATGGACCTGACTGCAAGTTTCTCAGCCTTTGCGACTTCTTTTTTTCTTTTTTTACTTTGTGCGGGGGGAAGCTGGAGGAGGATCTGTGGGAGAAAAGCAGCCAAAAACGAAAAAGTGACGAGAGCATGGAGAATAGGGCGGGAGGAGGACATAGTGCCGTACATGACCCGAGCCGAATTTGTGACGAGGGTCTGTTTGGTGTGGCAGGCGTTGGTCGATACAGCGGCCCTTTTTCGCAAGCGTTCCTATTCCGGTCAGGGGTAATGGTTGGGTTGGCGTAGCAGACGAAAGAGCGAGACGTTAGTTTGTTGGTGAGCTGTAGGCTGTAGGCTGTAAGCTGTAGGACAGGACGCTGGGTTTCCCTGCTTTCTCATCTGTGTTACTGCTTAGCTAGTGTTAGCGATATCAAACATGGGGTTCCTGGATACATTGTTGCATATGCGTTGGCAAAGGGCTGCCTGGATGTGATTCTACGAGTGTGTGAATATTAATTCCCTTGAAGCTTGGAATTCGTTGAGATGATGCCCCGTGGTGCTCTGCATATATTCTCGGATATTGGTGCTCCGTTCGACTTTTTGTTTCTTTTTAACTTACAAAGCATTGTACACCAACATGCTGCCAATTCTATCATACAGCCACGGATCCAGTCAACTATTCAGCTTCTCTATTCTCCATTTTGTACAAAACATTTCCTGGTCAACCTTCCAGACCCTAGCATTACACACCAATCGTCTGCTTCCTCCAAGCATTGAGCTGCCGGTACATCCTGACAAACTCGCCATTGGCACGCCGTTTCAGCTCCGGGTCCTCCGGGTTCCTCGCCACAGCAGCCGAGGTGGCGGACGCAAGTTCCTCGGCACCCGGGTCAGCGACGCGGAGGCAAGCACGCAGGGCATCCCAGACCGCGCCGACGGGCCGGACAGGAGGGTCCTCATTCGGCATCTCGGGGACGCACACGCGCAGGGCGTCGGCGCACCACGCGGGGTTGGCGGTAGAGGCGGCGCGGCGGAGGACGTACTCGTACAGGACGGGCCCGCGCGGGGCGGCGCGCTGCGGGCGGAGACGCCAGGCCAGGCGCCAGAAGCGGTCGCTGTCGTTGCGGCGGAAGTAGGCGTCCAGCAGGCGCAGGAGGGCGGTGTCGGGCGGCGGGGCGGGCACGGCGCGGGTGAGGAGGTGTTCGAGGTTGGTCTGCACTTGGGTGGCCCGGGGACCGTGGGCGCCTGAGGTCAGGAGGGCTTCGATGATGGTGACGAGGGTGTCGTGGGTGAGGAGCGGGAGGCCGCGCTCGTGCATGGTTTGGAGAAGGGAGACGGCGAGGGCGGCGTGCGTGGGGGGGAGGTCTTGGTCGCGCGGGGAGGAGCGGAAGATGGCGCTGAGGAGGGCGGTTGCCTCTTCCGGGGTGGAGTCGGCTCCTCCTAGCTGGATTTCGCGGATGCGGGTGCGGGCTTCGTCGAAGGTCGTAGATGTGCCGGGTTCGGGTGCGGCCTCTGGTTGGACTCCCGCCTCGGATTCGATGGGCTGTGTGCGTGCCGTGAGGGGAGCGAGGGGACGGCGCACGGTTCCAGAGGTAGAGAAGAATCGTGTCTGCTGGGATCGAGCTGGCGACGACGCAGATGTCTTGGGTTTGGACGTGTTAAACAGCTTTCCGAATTTGCGGTGAAACTCCCTTTGCTCGGACTGCAGACGGATCTCCTCGACCTCCTTGCTCTTCCGGAGCTGTTTGCTCCACAACTCCTCCAGATTCAGCTCGGCACGCCTGGACTCGGTCATGACCTGGATGACGATCGTAGTGCCGAGCACGGGAGCGCCGAAACCTGACATGCGCCCGTCATCGTCGAAGTGGGCGGCTTCGTCACTGTGTAGGTCGATGGTGCCCAGGTTGACGCAGATCCAACCGGTCGTGATGCCGTCGTCGCCACCGGTGACCACGGCGTTCGTTCCGAGGAGCTTCGCCTTCCTGCGCAAACGGCGTAGCTTGGTGCGGAGGTCGCCGGGGCTGATGAGACCATCGGCGCTGGCCTCGACGCGGTGTTCGTTTCGGAGCCACTTGACGAGGCGGGACGAGGAGACGTGCAGGTGACGTTCGCTGCGGGCTGTGCCGAAGAGCATGAGGAGGTTTGGGCCCAAGGCCGGAGGAGGATCGAGGGAGCGCAGGTCGAGCAGATTTAGGTCATCCAGACCCATCTCTTCATAGACAAATTTGACCAACGGTTCGACGAGGGGCGGGGAGCCTTCGGGGATATCGGGGAGGCTGGCGGCATGGTCGATAGGGGCATGGAGAGGCGCCTCGACCTGGAGATACCAAGGCGTGTCGCCTTCTTTGTTTTCCGATGGGGATTCGGCGGTCGAATCGACGGTCTTTTGCGGCACTGCCTGGGAGTCTTGTCCATCCTCTTTGTCTTCTTTGACTTCATCCACAGCTGGCCTTTTGGTCGTCGTATTTGTGGTTATATACTGTCGTGGCTGGGCGAAGTCGGACCTCTGTATTGTGCGGCCGATGCGACGGGGGGACTGAAGAGCGGTGGCTGCTGGAGACGCAGTGGATGTGAAGGCCCTCAATACCGAAGTCCGGCATTGAAGGCAGCTGAAGGCTGATGTAACCGGTCTTGAAGCCATGTTTGTGAGCCACAGAGAGCGGCAGGACGAAATCAAGTTCGTGGGAAGGTTGATGTATATGAAGGCTGGAACTTCTAGATTACTCGATCAACGTCGAGCTTTCTTCGCACTCGACTCCACTCTACCAATTGACCCAATTGGATGCTGCACGTCTCGGGGGAGTGAGTGGATCCCATACGAAGTACATTCGACAAGTATCTTAACAGGCCCCATCACCTGGCAGCCCTTGGGGCCAAAGTCTGACAAGCGCGAGACCACGTGACCTTAATTAAACGGGTAGCATGTCAGGCGTTCTCCCCTCACATCCTATTGGTGGTAAAAGGTGGATCCAGGAGGTCCCCCGAAATTTTTTGCCCATTGCTTTTGCTGCACAGATTCGACGCCTCGACTCGCCTTCTCGCGATGTCCTTCCAGGTCCTTCACTTCGTGCTTCCACTTTCTCTCCCAAATTCTATCCACTACCTACTCCCATCGACTCTAATTCTTCCCCCTCTCTCTCTTTATCCATACCTATCCATCTTAATTCTTCATTCTTTCCTTTTAGCCACATGTATTTGATTGTATTTTGAGATCGTCGTCTTATCCTCCAGCTCCCCCTGGAGTCTGATCCGTCCCCTCCGACGCCTGTCGCGTGAGACGAACACAAGACGAACAGTCTGTCTCGCCTAGCAAACATGCTCCTACGACCCGGCCGAAGGAACTTCTCTCTCCAACATGCATCCATCTCCCGCCTCTCCAGACCAGTCGCAAGGACCCCGTCCCTGGCGTCTTTGCCTAGTCAAGTCTGCCGCAAATGTCTTGTCACCCACACCCAGCTTGGGCCTTCCAGGAGGAGGAGAAGCTTCGGCTCTCCTGCAAGCCCTTCTAATGCCCGCACTCTTGCCACAGCCATGGACGATGCGCACCTTTACCATGTAACCTCTTACGATACTCTCAAGTCGTCCATCCTGCCACAATACCAGCCGATCACCTCCCTCCCACGGCATCATGATTTGCGCCCCATCGACCCATCGGCGCCTCTTATGGTCCAAGAACCCTCTTCGCCTATCCCCCGAGCACGTACAAATCCGCACGGCATCCCCGGGGATGTCGACGAGATGATTGCCATCTTTGACGCCTGTCTGAGGATCGCCAACCTAGACCGGGCCGCCCTGGTCTTGAAGCGCCTTGGGACGATCGACGAGATCCCGGGCCACGATCTGATCCTCCTGGGTAACCGATACCTGCGTGCTTCGCTGGAGCAGTTGCGACTGCATCCGGACAAGAGGAGAGCGGAGGAACTTCACAAGTGGTACGAGCTCTTCGTCAGGAGCAAGGGCTTGCCCCAGACAGCCGAAACTGTCGCCTGCATGTTGAAGGCTTCCCTGCTCTCCGAGCATCAACCCGACAGGTTGGACCGTCTCGTCACGCGCTACATGAGCATGGCTCCAGGAGACGCTGGACTGCGTGTCCTTTCTATGGCCGACATCTTGAATGACCAGGATCTTGCTGTCATCACCGACATCTGTCCCACCTACAACCTGGCTCCTGATACAACCCCTGCAACATCCGACATCCCCGCAGATGAGGTCCAGGATGCCTCGACTGCAAACACAACAAGCACAAAGAATACGTCCGAGGACAATGTTCCCGAAGTTCTCGCCACACCGCAGAAGGGCTTTGGCTTGAAAACGTTGAAACAAACCCTCACACTCTTCGACAAGATGCCTCAGGACTGCGACATCTCGACACTTAGCCGGGAGCAACAGAGGGAAATCCAGGCTAGGCTGGAGCGTGATTGCATTGACGCCGCCGTGGAACGCTGGCGAGAGGAGAACGAGTCGTTGAAGAAAATGGGCTTGAACTCATCCGTGTCCAGCGCCTCTCTGAATTCCCGTTTGTACGATTGGCAGCTGGCCTTGGAAGCACGTCTCACCGAAGAAATGCAAAAGGTAGAAGAAGCTGAGGCCAAGCCCAAGAAGACGCCCGAGGACTACGACCGCTGTCTATACGGGCCCTTCCTTCGCATGTCAACCCCCACCAGACTGGCTGCCGTCACCATCCTGGGTACGCTGAGCGCCACCACTATGGCCGGCATCGACAGGGGAATCGCCCTCTCCTCCGCCATCAGCAGTCTGGCCAAGCTTGCAGAGGAGGACATCCAGTCGCAAGCCATGCTGCGAACATCCAAATTCAAATCGAAGAAGCGCCGCGTCGTTCACGTTCCCGGCAAGTCGTCCAAGAAGCTCGATGCCGCCCGCGCCGAGCTCGGCCCGGAGAGTCAGGTGGCCCCGGAAACCGCCACCAAACAGACCGATCCCGCACCCGACACGCCGTGGCCTGTCGCCGTCAAGGCAAGGGTGGGAGCCGCCCTGCTCTCGGCCCTCATCGACACCGCCCGCATCAAGGTCGTCAAGGAGCACCCGGACACCAAGACGCTCATCAGCCAGTACCAGCCCGCCTTCTCCCACGCCACCCAACTCCGGAGGGGCAAGAAGATCGGCATGGTGCTTCTCAATAAGGAGCTCGTCACCATCATGAAGCGCGAGCCGCAAGGCGACTTCCTGGCGAAACATCTTCCCATGGTGGTCGAACCGGAGCCCTGGTCGAAATTCGACAAGGGCGGCTTCCTCGAGAGCTCCGCCAACTTGGTCCGCATCAAGCACGGCGATAAGGACCAGCGCATCTACACCGAGGCAGCCATCGGCCGCGGCGACATGGACCAAGTTTTCAAGGGCTTGGATGTGTTGGGGAAGACGGGCTGGCGCATCAACACCTCCGTTTTCAACGTCATGCTGGAGGTTTGGAATAGCGGCGAACCCGTCGCCAACATTCCGGCGCTGAACCCGGATATTCCCATCCCAACCGAACCCCTTTCCTCGGCGGACCCGACGGAACGCCGGAACTGGATCCGTGCGGTCAAGGCCGCCGAGAACGAGCGGGGTGGTCTGCACTCTGTGCGGTGCTTCATCAACTTCCAACTCGAGATTGCTCGGGCCTTCAGGAATCAGACGTTCTATTTCCCCCACAATATCGACTTCCGAGGTCGCGCCTATCCCTTGCCCACCTACCTCAACCACATGGGTGCGGACCACGTCCGAGGCCTGCTTCGATTCGCCAAGGGAAAGGAACTGGGAGAACACGGACTGAAGTGGTTGAAGGTCCACCTCGCCAACGTGTACGGCTTCGACAAGGCCAGCTTGAAGGAAAGGGAATCGTTCGCCATGGACAACGTGGTCAACATCTTCGACTCGGCCACGAAGCCGCTCACCGGCAACCGCTGGTGGCTGCAAGCCGAGGACCCGTGGCAATGCCTTGCCACCTGCTTCGAGCTGAAGGCTGCCCTGGAGTCGCCGGATCCCGCCAACTTCGTGTCGCACCTCCCTGTTCACCAGGACGGAACCTGTAACGGCCTGCAACACTACGCCGCTCTCGGAGGCGACTCCTGGGGCGCTCGTCAGGTCAACCTGGAGCCCGGCGACAAGCCTGCCGATGTCTACTCGGCCGTCGCCGACATCGTCAAGGGATACATCGCCAAGGATGTCGAGGCGGGTCACCCCTTTGCTTTGGCGGTCAATGGCAAGATCACGCGAAAGGTGGTCAAGCAGACCGTCATGACCAACGTGTACGGCGTCACCTTCCAGGGTGCCAAGAAGCAGGTGTGCAAGCAGCTCGACGCGTTGTACCCGAACTTGCCCCAGGAGAGCGGCTTCAGCGCCATCGTCCTCGCTTCCTACATTGCGTCGCTCATCTTCAAGGCGCTGTCGTCCATGTTCCGAGGCGCTCACGACATCCAGTACTGGCTGGGCGAGATCGGCGGCCGGGTCTGCCGGGCGCTCTCCGCCGAGCAGCTCGAGCGCATCGCCAGCACAGGCATCATCCCGAACTCGTCCAAAGTGAAGAAATTCAAGATCAACGAGAAGAAAGATACGACGGACGATCTGCTGGCCCAGTTCCGGGCCACCATTGTATGGACGACGCCCCTCAAGATGCCCGTGGCACAGCCGTACCGAAAGAGCGGCACCCGCGTGATCAAGACTTCGCTGCAGGACCTGACCTTGACGGTGCCCGAGCGGTCTGACCCCGTCAACCGGAAGAAGCAGCTCCAGGCTTTCCCGCCCAACTTCATCCACTCGCTGGACGCCACGCACATGCTCCTGTCGGCCCTAGAGTGCCACGACCTCGGCCTCGAGTTCGCGGCCGTCCACGACTCGTTCTGGACCCACGCTGCCAACGTCGACGCCATGAACGCCGTCCTCCGCGACGCCTTTGTGCGGATCCACGAGGAGGACGTCATTGGCCGGCTCGCCGCCGAATTCGAGGCCCGCTACAAGGGCTCCATCTACCTGGCCAAGGTCAACCAGGGCACCGAGGTGGAGAAGAGGATCTCGGCGTGGCGCAAGAAGGCCAGGTGGTCGACCAAGGACGAGCTGCTTGCGGAATACGAGCGACAGCGCCTGCTCAAGTCGCAGGACCGCGCGGAGGTCGAACGCGGACGCCAGATGGTCACGCCCGCGAGCATCTTCGAGGACATGTCGGCGGCGGATGCCCTTGCCGAGCCCGAGGACATGCAGGAGATCCGTCTGGGCGACATACCCGAGGGGGCCAACTCGATCGAAGCCATCAAGGCCGAGGAAGAAGCCGCCGCCGCTGCCGAGGCGAGCGGGTTTGCCGCAGAGGTAGTGGACGAAGAGGACGGCATGCTGGACGACCACGACGCGGTCGCCGCCGATGAGTCGGCCGGCGAAGGCGACGCGGAAAGCGCGCGGCTTTCCGGGGTGCTGGAGAAGCTGAAGCGGTCGCATTTCGACAACGTCGTCAACGCGACCGGAACGAAGAAGAAGGCTGCGACCAAGACGATACAGATCTGGCTGCCGCTGTCGTTCCCGGCGATCCCTGCGAAGGGCGACTTTGACGTGCAACGTCTACGGAAGAGCGAGTACTTCTTCTCGTAAACCCGCTTCCATGTTGGGAAGACATGTCAAAGTGAGAGTTGGATGTGAGCAAGGACTAGCATGTTGCATGTTGATTTCATGATTCTGGGGAGCATACTACCGGGGGCAGAAGGGCTTGTCTGGATTGCCCTGTGCCTTTCTGCCTATATTGAGGCGTTGGTTGCATGTTGGTGGGGGATACACAGGCTGGCGTTGGATAGGCACAGAGCATATTTATATTTCTATGCTGGCGATTTGTACAACACAAAAAGAAAAGAAAAGAAAAGAACCTCGGGCGAGATTCGGAGGATGGATTCAGCTCGAGGAGGAGTTGTACATTGTTTGTATACTATACTACATATTAGGCCATCTGGTCTTATTTAGGGAGCCAGATGCTGTATCATACATAGCCTTGTTTTCAAGGACGATAAAAGATTCATACAAGTTTGAAGAATTTCTTCGGTGGCCGAGCGGACAATCTTGTGGGATGGTGATGTGATAGAGACGGGCACATATGGTCTGGATTTTGGTTCGTGACTTTCTAAAATGCGTCTAGTTGAGGGACGTCTAGCCTTCCTTCTTTTGCGAGGTCAGTCAGGCCATCCACATAATTCCGCTTCCATTGACCCTAAACTTTTACCGAACCACGGCACCTTTGAGCGAGGGAACGGTGCAGACGCCACCCGCCTCGGTCACCAGTTTCCCCACACCCTCCTTGCCCAGGTCCTTGACGACGGCGGCATCAAAAGCAACAGAAAGGTCCTCGGTGGTCGTGAAGCCCGGCTGGATGGTCTCCCACACCTTCTTCTTGGGGTTCAGCACGCCCTCGGGCTCGCCCTTCCAGCCGTCGAAGAAGACGCGGTCGCCGGCCTTGGCGTCGGCAGGCGGGGTGACCAGCTCGACGGGGCCCTTGTGGTCGTCGGCCTCGCCCTCCCGGAGGCGGGGCGACGCGGCGAGGACCATGGCGGACGACTTGATGCCGCGCATCTTGACGGGCTTCAGGTTGCACACGACGACGACCTTGCGGTCCTGCATGTCCTCGAGCGGGATCAGGCCGTTGAGGCCCGAGCAGACGGTGCGGCAGACCTGGCCCTCGTACTCAGTGGTGTCGTCGCCGGCTGGGTCGCCCATGGCGATGGTCGAGACGTAGAGGGAGTCGGCTTCCGGGTGCTTGACGGCCTTGAGGATGTGGCCGACGCGCAGGTCGATGAGGGAGGGGGAGAGGGGTGCGGCGGCGGCGGCGGCGGCGGGGGCCTTGGGCTGCTTGGGGGCTTTTTCTTTCTTTTCCTTCTTTGGTTTGGCGTTGTTGTTGCCTTGGGCTGCGGCCGCGCCCGCCTGAGGGGCCTTGTTGTTGTTGTTGTTGTTGTTGTTGTTGTTGTTGTTGTTGTTGTTGTTCTCCCTCTTCTCCTTGGTGCGATCGGGGAGGGCAGCTGGCTCGCCGTCGACAGCAGCAGCAGCCTTCTCCTTCTCCTTCTTGAGACGCTCCTTCTCGGCCTTGGCGTCGACGGGGGGCTTGACGTAGCGGACGTCGTCCAGGTCCACGGCGATCTTGTCCGGGTCCGAGACGGCGAGGTCGAAGGCGGCGGGCGTGTTCTGGACGAAGTCGAGATGGCGGACGATGTGCGGGTAGCCGTTCTGGCCGGTACGTTGGTCCGCAGACCAGCAGGCCACTAGGGGTCGGACGGCAGCATAGAGGGCGGTGTCGGCGCGGCTGGGCTTGTTGCCGAGGAGGGTGGTGCGGGTGCTGAGGTGGGAGTTGACGGTGTCGAGGATGGGACGGAGCTGGGCGTCGTCGGCAGAGTTGGCCTTGGCGTGCTCCTCGACGCGCGAGGCGGTGGTGAGCCACTGCTGGATCTCGACCTCCTCGGTGGGAGTGTAGGTCTGGGCAGAGACGGGCTGCATCTTGATGACGGCGGCGGCAGCGGTGGTGGTGGTGGCGGTGGTGATGCTCCGAAGGAGGTTCGGGCGGACTATGGACCTGATGGGCAGCAGCTTGGCGGTTTGTTGAAGAGACAATGCGCAAAGGCTGAATCGTATGAGGGAGCGATAGGCAGGTTTTGGTTGTCTGTTCTTGATGTGGAGAAGTCAAGGTCGACGTTGATGATGTCTGAAGGAAATTTCCCTTCTCTTGTGTATTCGAAGGTAGCGGGGTAGCTGGATCGTGCCCCGCCATTCTGCCCTGAGTGGCCGCCCGGGATTAACTGGGGATTAACTGCCACTGATGGGAAAACCTCGTGACTTACGCCACTCTATGTGGCGTTGGTGCAGTTTTTGGGAGTATCCTATTGGCCAGATGAAACGCGTTCAAGCCACAGGAGTAACCAAACCGCGTCTGATCCAGTGATCACGCATCCTCTTCGCGTTTGCCCAGTAGAGATTCGAGATTCGGCACGTCATGAAATCTTGAACCCCTCGCGACCCACGAGCAGTTTCCCTTAGGCAACCACGACCTCAAACCAATTGTTGCTCATGCCTTACGCCTTTCTGTAATATTCCATTTTCTTCATTTTTTTTTGTCACCCTACGCTCAAACTGATTGTTACGGACTCCTTAGCCCCAGCTGAGAATTTTCTTTGTTCTCTGACCTTGATCTCAAATCCGACTGTTCTCCCACATCACATCGCTTCCATTTCGGCATGATATTCTCTTCTGAGGGGATGTATCATTCCATTATTCGAAGACTCCCATAATCCCAACGAACAATACTTGTTTCTATCACACCACTGTCCGCGATTTTGATTGATCCATAACAGCCTCAACCTGTCTATCCGAGCTTTCGCTTCCAAAGTTGCAGATCCGACTCTCCCGCAATCAACCATGGCCCTCCTATCTTCAGCCTCCGAAACTGACTCGATCATGTCGCGGACTCAATCCGTCATCAGTCCCAATTCGTCACCGTCGGCCGTAGAGTCTCCTCCGGCGATGCAGTCCGTTACACCCGAGGCGAAGCAAGAAATTCTCGATGAAGAAGAAAAGGCACGCCTGGCCAATCTCAAAGAAGAAGAGAAGCGACAGGCTGCTCTGAAAAGGAAGCGAAAGAACAAGAAACCGGAGACGAAGGCCGAGAGAGAACAAAAGGCCCGCGAGCTGGATGACCTGTTGCGGAAGAGTGCCGCATTCAGCGACATTCTCACCAAGAAGACGCAGGTCTTGGGCCGTGTGGGCAGCGGTTTCGATGGCAAGGCCCTTGGAGAACATGACCTTGAGATGGCCAAGCAACCCAAGTCTCTAGTTGGCGGGACGATGCGCGACTACCAACTTGAGGGCCTCACATGGATGTACGAAATTTGCCAGCAGGGCATGTCCGGCATCTTGGCCGACGAGATGGGTTTAGGTACAGTCTTAGTCCCTTTGCTTCCTTCTCTTCTTTCACAAGCGCAAAAGGCTAACCCGAGCCACAGGCAAGACTGTCCAAGTCATCTCCTTGATTGCTCTCCTGCGCGAGGAAGAGTACCTCGGACCTCATCTTGTCGTTGCACCCCTGAGCACTCTGTCGAATTGGATCAACGAATTCAAAAAGTGGTGTCCTTCCATCCCTGCCATCTTGTACCACGGAACGCCACAGGAACGTGCACAGATGTGGAAGACCAAGGTCGCGAGGCACCTGAGCGGCGGACGCCCGACCGAGAAATTCCCCGTCGTCTGCACATCTTACGAGATTCTCCTGAGAGAAAAGGCATCTCTTTCCAGAGTCAATTGGGGCTTCATCATAATTGTACGTGCTCAGCAGTTCCCCTTCCCCATTCAGTCACACGTCAGACACAAACAATCAACTGACAGAGCCTAGGATGAGGGCCATAGGATGAAAAACTTCGATTCAAAGTTGTTCAGAGAATTACGGACCTTCTCGTCAGCCACTCGGATGCTAATTACCGGAACCCCTTTGCAAAACAATCTCAGGGAGCTATGGTCGCTGCTACACTTCCTGCTTCCGACCATCTTCACCGACTGGGATGCTTTCGAATCCTGGTTCGACTTTAGCGATCTGGAGGACGCCGAAACGACCAAGGAGTTCATCGGGGACCGAATGAAACAGGAACTCGTCAAGAAGATTCATCTCATTCTGCAGCCTTTGCTGCTACGAAGAATCAAGGCCGATGTGGCCAAATATCTTCCGAAGAAGCGCGAATACATCTTGTACGCACCACTGACCGAGGAACAGCGCGATCTTTACCACGCCATTGCCGACACGAATGTGGACAGCCGTGCCTATCTCCAGAACAAGGTCCTCTCTTCTCTCACCGCGGCCGCGGCCTCCTCGGCGGCCCCTAAGGACTCGAAGCAGGCGGAAAGTGGTGTTGGCGCCAAAAAGATCTCACTACCAGTCCGAAGCAGTCCACGGAAGACTCGAGGAGACTCCAACGATGCGAGTCTGGCAGCACCCAATGCATTTTCCTTGATGATGGGCAAGAAGGCTAGAGGCCGCTCGCCCATGGCCAAGGCAGAATCGTCGGCTGAATCATCGGCGCTCTCGTCGGTCCCATCGTCGACCCCGTCGTCCAGCAAGCAGTCCTCTGCTCCGGCCAAGAGGAAGAGCCCACCCACATCGGAGACACCCCCGTCGAAGAGCGCCAAGTCGAGCCGCCACTCTACACCGGCACCGGCGCCGGCGCCGGTGTCCACCCGAGGCAGTCGCAGAAGCACTCGACGGGCTCGTTATACCGAGGCAGATTCCGACGAGGAGAAGCTCTCTGACGATGAGTTTGAAGCAAAGTTGGCGGAGGAGGTGGCCAAGGAGACGGCCCACGAAAACGAAAACGACCATGTACCCGGCATGACACCAGAAGAGGTCGAACGCACGCACAGCCTGGAACTTGCCAAGATGGAAGTGGCGAGGAAGAAAATGGGCAACCCGCTGATGCAACTGCGTCTGGCTGCAAACAGCCCCCACAACTTTTACAACCCTTGGGGCATCGCCGGCGGGGCCGAGGTCGACGAGACCGTCGTTACGGCATCGGGCAAGATGCTCCTTCTCGACCGTCTGTTGCCGGCCCTGTTCGAGCGAGGGCACAAGGTCTTGATCTTCTCGCAGTTCAAGACGCAGCTCGACATACTGCACGACTATTGCGCCCTGCGGAAGCTGAACGTTTGCCGGATAGACGGCAGCGTGTCGCAGGAGGACCGGCAGCTCCAGATTGACGAGTTCAACAAGAATCCCGACTTGAAGGTGTTCTTGTTGGCCACCCGAGCTGGTGGGCAGGGCATCAACCTCACGGCTGCGGATACGGTCATCCTCTTCGACTCGGACTGGAACCCGCAGCAAGACCTTCAAGCCCAGGATCGGTGCCACCGTATCGGGCAGACCAGGCCGGTCATTGTGTATCGGCTAGCCACAAAGGGCACTGTCGAAGAGCACCTGCTTCTTAGCGTGGAGGCCAAGCGGCGACTTGAGAAACTTGTCATCAAAGGTGGCAGCTACCGCACTATGGGGCAAAAATTGAAGAAGGAGGAGGAGGAGCTCGACGAGGAGACGTTGAAGGCGCTGCTCCTCAAGGATGCTCAGGTGTATAAGAACACTGGTGCTGAGGAGATCTTGAGTGACCATGACCTGGACATTCTATGCGACAGGTGAGTCGAGAGGGGACCCCAAAGCCTGTGCAACTGCCGGGGGGGAGGGGGTGAAAAACTGCAGCCAGTACGTTTGCAGCCAGTACGTTTGCTGACAGGTTCGAACAGAAGCGACGAAGCCTACGAGCGTGCAGCCGTGGGCAAGGGGAACGCCGATGGCTTCAAGGTCGTTGAAACCGGTGCAAACGGTATTCTGACAGCTTGAACCCGGCCTTGCTGAGGAAAATTATGATTGTCTTCTCTAGACCAGTCTACAAGCGTGTGGGCCATCTTCATCGAATCTGCATGTCCGTCGATGCCACGGTTAACGAAGTTAGGACGTGGCGCATTCTGGCTTAAGCATAGGCTTGTGGGAAGAACCATATATGCTCTGATTGAGAGAGGGAGAGAGAGTTAATACTCCTGATTTGGTCTTCAACGTCTCAAACCCCGCATTCTATACAATCACAGCCCTCCGAATCCCCCGTGTCGCTCTATTTGGGCAACTGGCTCATATTTCTGCTATGGACGGCGTAGGTTTCTTTTCCCTCTGGGATATTTCGGGGCCAGGAAGTTGAGCAAAGCAATGGAAACGATACGTGCATTTCTATTTCACCGTCCTGCAGCTTCATCCGGACTTCGGGTCAAGGGATGTGGGGGACGTAGCATCGGCGACCCTACCAGACAATATACGAATTAATATCAATTAATACCGGTACCCGATTCATCCCCGCGTGGACTGGCACCGGGACATGCATGTAATTTATTTCTACGGTTCTGACAGTGGCAGTGTTGACACTGGGGCTTACACGGCATGAGCGGTGATTCTGTGAACGTTCACTCCAAAACCATGTAAATAAAGCCTCTCATATCCCCCCTTTACCGTAGAACGACAGAGCCAATCATTGTGTCTTTTCGTGGTTTGCCGAGTCCTTAACGCTATCTATCACATTGCCATCATGTTGTCCCCTCTATTCCTTGTGGCTCTGGGCCTCCTGTCGGGGGCTCTTGCCCAAGAGAAGATCAAAATCAGTAAGGAAACACATGCCTCCTCTTCATATTCTCAGGGAGAACCTGCTTGTTCGGGGAGTAGTGGAAATGGCCGTGCCGCTTGAGCCTTGCGAAGCTGACACTCCAGACGACATCAAAAGTGCCCCTCGGCGACTCCATCACGGAGATCACCTGCTGGCGGGCCATAGTCTGGGACATGCTCGTCGACGAAGGCCTCGCCGACGTCGTCGACTTTGTGGGCTCGATGAACAACAACCCGCAGAACTGCGTCGCCCAGTCCGGGTCCTTCGACCTGGACCACGAGGGCCACTCGGGGTGGCTGGCCATCGACATTGCGAACCAGCATCTGCAAGGGTGGCTGGCGAGCACGAAGCCTGACATTGTGCAGTTCATGCTCGGCACCAACGACGTGTTTCAGGGGAGGGCGACTGGCGACATCGTGGCGGCGTACACGCGCATGGTGGACCTCATGAGGGCCTCGAATGCGGAGATGAGGATCATTGTCGACCTGGTGATTCCGATTGCGTTTGGCAGTCAGGGTGTCAATGCGCTGAATGCGCAGATTCCCGGGTGGGCGCAGCGGCTTGATACCCCTGAGTCGCCTATTGAGATTGCGGACTGCTCGGCCAACGCTGGGTATACGACGGGCATGCTGCGGGATGGTGTGCATCCTAATGCGGAGGGTGATGCTCTCATTGCGAGGCAGGTCGGTCCTATTCTCATTGAGTATGTGAGGGAGCTGGCGGCCGAGAGGGGGTTCTGCGTGTAACTCGGAGATGGTGGAAGGAAGGGGGCTTCTGTCCCTGAATCCTCACCATTAGTAGGAACACTACGGAAATATTCTTACCTAGTCTTGTACTAGTCTTACACACTGCTGAGTCCGTATATTGAGAGTTACCTGTTCGGAATGATAAAGGAACAGTCGTCTACAAGCGGATGGACTCGTTTAGTCGTCTTGAGGAGCGGCAGTGGGAGGGCGGTCGAATACGACTCGTATAGCCAAGGAGAGAGGCAAGGCAATCGACAAGTGAAAATGTGAAACCCGAATAATGAGTACGTGTCTGCTATTGTTGTAGCCGGTAAGGTAGGCACAGCTATCTAAAAGGTGTACTAAAGCGAGGGTGCAATACTGAAGTAAAGTGGCCGTATCCGAAGCGGCCAGTTGTCGAAATAGGGGGGCGAGGAAGTAAAAGATAGGAGTGGAAAAAGCCAAGGTACAAACTGCACCCACACCCCATCCTCCACTTGTACGAAATCCCCGACATTCTCTACGGCCCTGTAATTGACATGTCTCGGTCTCGCAATCCGAGACTGGCCGAAGAGTCGGGATTTGTCCTGAGTGCTGACTTCGCTTAGACTCTAGAGGCACTGGGAGTACCAGTCGTTCTGCCTCTGGCAGGTCCAAGGAGCAACGCAATGGGTCGGACCATTCCAGCCGTTGCCGCCGCACTGTTCCCACCGGTCGGCAAGGGCGCCAGAAGGAGGAGGGGGCGAAGGGCCAGGGCTGGGACCGGGGCTGGGACCAGGGCTCGGGCCGGGACTCGGGTTGCCGCCGTTGCCACTGCCAGGAGATTCTCCCGAGATGGGGTTGTCGCCGGGAAGAGCGGCGAAAGCTGCAAAAAAGAAAAAAGCCCGAAGACATAACTCATCAGCATATATAATTTCAAGTGGAAAAAAAGGGGCTGGACGCCAAACTTACGTCCGTTGATGTCCTCGTTGACAAAGCTGGGGAGCTTGCACTGGTTGGCGGCAGCGGCGGACTGCTCCTGAAGCTGAGGGCAGAGGACGTTGCAACGAGCATCCATGGCACGCTGCAGGGCATCACCCCGCCAGCCGAACATGTAGTCGCCGTGCTGGCCGTATCCGGTCCTACGTTTTTGTGTACCCATTGTCAGTCTCGGATCCCAGAGACATCTCTCTCATGCCCAGGGAAAAGGGGCACACATAATGACTGTCATCTTCCGGAAAAGACTTACACGTCACCAAAGCTGAAGACGAAGGGCTGCGAGCCGTCCTCGGGCCACTCGGCCAGGTTATTGAATGGGCGGGTGTCCCACATGATCTCGAAGAAGAGCTGGGGAAGCTTGACTGGGTGGCTGGCGGGGCAGGGCGCGCCCATCTCGAAAGTGCCGCCGACGGGATAGGCGACGTGGCTCTTATGGTCGGGGGTATCGAGGTTGACACCATCCCAGCACCTAACAAGCAAAGTTGAGACGTTAGCTATGTCGTATCTCTGCGTCTTGTCTTGGGACATGCTCCCATATGGCATGTCATACGGTTAAGAGTAAAGACTTACGTGGGGAAGAAGAGGTTGGTACGGATACCGCCCGGGCAAGGCCTGGTAGGGAAGTGTCTTGTGTCGGTGCCGGTGCCCGGTGCGCCGCTTTCACCTCCAAAGTTGGCGTCAAAGCACCGGAAGCTGGACTGCTGCTGGTCTAGGGTATTCCGGTCCTCTCGGAGGAAGGGGTTGCCGACAAGCATACGGAAGCCCTGGGATGTTCGCGTTAGACCTTCCTTCCCGCCCGCCCTTTTTTCTTTTTTTCTTTAACATATAATGGGCCCGTTGCAGTACTTACAGGTGCAAAAGCGGTGACACTGCTACCGTCATAAGGGTCGATATAATAGATGGTCATGCCGCCGTCGGCACCCTCGAGGAACTGGTTGGCAAACTGAGGCACACGGATCAGAGTCCCGTTGCGGGCCCGGAAGTACATGTTCGCGGTCCAGTAGTTCGAGAAGTTCTCGCTGAAGGTGCAAGTCGTGCAAGTGCTTCTGGCCACGAGGTCATGGGACATGTCCATGGTAACATCGAAGGAGTTCTATAGCCATCGGTCGATCAGCAGGGGGTTCTTTTCCACTCGGGGTCTGTTTTTAGCTTACACCGCCGACGATCTGGTGCACATGGCCGGATGGATTGGCACCGGGTTGGACGAGACTGAGAGGAAAGTCAACTGGTTGGATCTTCGAGACGTGGGACGGGTTCGTGTTAGCAGTATCATCGCTTTGTTGAGTCGAGGCTTACGGGTCGAGACGGTTAATGACGAGCTGAGAGCAGGAGAATCTCAGCATGGCGCTGACGCCCGAGGCGCCAACGAGAAGAGCCCCGAGACTCTTAGGGAGCATGTTGTCTTCGGAGGCTTCCCACGTGTTGGGAAGGATGAAGGATCAGAGAGGTGACAAAAGTGAGCCCGTGAAATAAATGATGTGTTGACAGCTCTGGGATGCTGATCTGCTCTCTATCTGCCAGAAGAACCACTGAACCAGACTCCATGAAAAGCATAACCTGATCCGTCGGGGCCTGTATATATACTCTCAGAGCTTGTCCACAGTAAGAGAAACATCACAAACCTTGGGGTGATTCAAGAGTTGCCCGGCTCGGGGCCTGGGTGTGAGTTGGGGGTGCAGGGTTACCGTGCTACGTACGGATACCATCCCCGACCTCCCTCGACCCACCGCGGGAAAGGATGAACTTGTCACTTCTTCCTATTCGGAGTCTCTAAGACGTCCGGAATATACGTGTATGTCGTAGCTAAGAATAGTGCGGAAGATTATCATCACAAGTATGTTCACGTGGGTATCTCTCCGACTCCAGCATGAGGGCGAGTTAAGCAAATGTTGGCGGGCTAACAAAAACAACGGAGAACAACGGCGATATCGCGGGCCCGCAAAGTGCCACTCCCGGACCTGTCATCTGTCGAGGCGTGGGGTGGTCGGTGGTTGAACCAAATCGAGAGCCTCGCACTGTAGTCTGTCGGCATATGCCCGCATGGGCGGCATGACACATTGACACCTTCTCGCTTCGGCATGATGCATGCTGTAGCCTGTGGGTTAGCGACGTAGGGTAGTAACAGAGAGCGAAAAGAAATCCTGGACTCGGTGCAGAGCCGTACGACCGGTTCTCTTTTGGTTGCGGGGTGGTGTAACCGTTGTTTAGGCTATGCATTGTTTCTCCGATGTCAAAACAGCCGACTGGTCCCCCGGACTCCCCCGGATCTGTCGAGGTCGAATGTGGAAGGAAACTCCTTGTCCGGGCTTCCGCTTTGGGAGTAGGCGGGAGTCGCGGGACGTCCGAGCGGCGTGTGTCTTGACAGGAAAGGGGCGACGCCAAGTTCCAACTTTGGGCGAAGTTCAAGGGTCATGCGAGGCTGTAATGTAAGTTGTAACTCGTGAGATGCGGTTTCTAATATTGGTATCCATGGTCATAATGCAGGGTTTGCCGCCTATTTTTGTTTGGTTCGTCCAACGAGAAACGACTGATTCATCGTCACATCTCTCGACTTTTGTCATCAGACCGTTCGTTAAGCAGCGGGCTTCAGGAATCTGGCCATCTTGCAGCCCTGTTCCTGTGAGGGAACAGAGGAAGTGGTTGCTTACCGCCTCTGCGGCCTCTCCTCTTCTGGTCTTGGTATCACTGCCCACCCCAAGCTCTGATGAACCAAACTCCGAGGAGCCAAGGCGGAGCATAGGCCCTCCGTTTGTCTTGTATCGTTGGAAGGATGGTGAAGTTTTGTGTTTGTGGCGTTGAAGAGAATCTGGAGACCCGAGACCGTTGCGAAGAAGTTGAATTGGACGTGGAATCCTGCGTGGTGATTGGTGGACTTTCTTCGACCGGTAGGAGGATCCCGAGTATTGTGCGGACCATCTCCTTTTCGTATGTTGCCTTGCCGCCATGCCACCTTGCCACCTCGACTCAAGTTCTTGACCGATTTACAGGACAAAAGAAGAAAAAGAAAAAGAAAAGACGCTTTCATCATGGCGGACCGTAATAGATCCGTATCTTACATGCCAATTCTAGTCAAAGAGGTAAACTCAAGTCTCAGACCAAAACCGCAGTCCATCTGTCACATGCATACACGACGTGACGACATGTTCCGGCCTCTGCATCCCCTTTCGCTCGATAGCGGCCGTGTAAATGTCGACGTTCCATTCCGAGCCCAACTCGTTCTCGTCGCTCGACTCCTCCCGGGCTCCCGCTCCAGCATCGGCACAGTCTCTCACACTGGCAAATCCACCTGCGTCTCGACCGTGTCGTCCAGTTGGCTGATAGTCTTGACGTTCAGACCAGGCGCATCGCCGCTCAGCCAGTGCCGCATCGTCACGATGGCCGCTTCGTATTCCACCGCTATGCTGGCGTCGATGGCGTTGAAAGGGAGCGTCTTGTCCCAGGCGTGTTTCTGGCCCGGCACAACCCTCGAGGTGACGACGCGCCCGGCCTCCTTGGCCCTGTCGGCAAAGTAGAGGCCTTCGGCCAGGAGCATGTCGTGTTCGCACAAACATAGATGCAAGGGCGGGAGTTTGTTCATCATCTCGGCCGGCATGAGGCCGGGGGAGAGCCGCGGGTCGTGGCGCTGCGCGTGGGGGATATACGGGTGTATGTAGCAGGCGTCGAACAGGTCCGTCATGCTGCTCGGTAGCGTCTCTTCTGGCTTGGAGGACCTCTCTCGCTTTTCCGACCGGCTGATGGTCCAGTCTAACGGTGGATAGAAGAGGACCATGCCCGCGATGGAATCGAGCGCTTCTCCCGCCGGCAGTGACGGTGGCATCTCGTACCTCCAGCGGGAGGGGTCCTGCAGAATGACCCAGCTCGAGAGGGCCAGGGTCGCGCCGGCAGAGAAGCCCGACAAGATGATGTTGTCCGGGTCGATGCCGAACTCTTCGGCCCTCTCGCGTAGCTGGAGGATGGAGTCGACGCAGTCTTCCACCGGGGTGGGGTACGGATAGCCCGGTGCGAGGCGGTATTCCACGGAGAAGACGACAGCATCAAAGGTATCCTGGACGGCGGCGACCCAGCGGGCATCGTCGGTTCCGGAGCCGAGGAGGAAACCTCCGCCGTGGAAGTTGATGAGCGCAGTGCGTTTGCGTTTGTCTATGTCTTTGTCCTTCCCTTTGCCTTTGCCTTTTCCTTTGCGTCTGCGTTTGTGTTTGTGTTTGTGTTCGTGTTCGTGTTCGTGTTCGTGTTCGTGTTCGTGCTTGTGCTTGTGTTTGCTCTGCATGCTTGCAGCTGATGCCGGCCCAAACTCGGACTCCATCTCCGATATGGATGCAGATGCAGAACCGGACGTGGATCTCGTGGGCCCGTCGGCCTCACGGCCCTCACCCGGAGATCCGGCTGAATTGCGCTCCCACACGTACACGCGGATCGCCTTTGGCCCCTTCCACCTTGACAAAGTTGAATCGACCCATATGGTCCGAGTGGGTGGGGGAGGAACGGGGGCGGTGCGATTGCTGAGAGTAAAGGATAGAGAAGCGGCGGATCTCAGGACGGCGGCTTTCACGGCAAGACGCCATCTCGAGACGCCTTCGACGGGGTTAACGTCCAACTCTTCACCTTCAGGCATGCCGGGGCTCGGGGGTTCTGAGTCTTTTGACATTTGGACTGGCGTGTAATTACGGTGTAGTAGTGAACCTAGTAGAGAGTCGAGACTGGGAGGAGCCGAATGACAGTGGAGACCCTGAATGAGAATATTGCAGTCCTTGTATCTTTTTTGTTTCTTCCTGGGGTAAGTGTACGGAGGATAGACAGTAATTTAGTTGCCAATGTGGGATTCGTGATGTGCCAGGTGATGCTGCAGCCTGTAGGTGTGAATCGTGTGATGTGCGATGCGTGATGCGAGTTGATGATTTGACCAAAGTACCAGGGGAAATAGATACATCTCCGAAAACCAGTTGATGACAGCCGGCAGTCACGAGGGTAGCAAGAGGATGCCAATGACCTGCATATGATGTCATCGAACACGAGTACCCCTGAGATGGATGTCATCGTCGCATCTTTTTAGATCGTTCGGACAAGTCGCACTATCGTAACTCCGTACTCCGTCGATTGTCAAAGCCGGACCGCCGATGACCGAAATTTCTCGTGTTTCTCTGGCGCGTTTGCACAGGTACACTCTGTGTGTGCAAGTGTGCAAACCGCAGGAGTTGTACACTACTTCGTGCATCCTGGGATAACCACGTGACGTGAGATTCGACCACCGACTTCATGCCCGATTCAACTCTAGTCTCTCCGTCCGTTCCAGTAGTCACCGATCCCCCGCTCACTGCAACATACGCTGTAACGTACTCGATACGGCGCACATTCACAAGAGACTTATGTGATCTGATCTTTTCTCGCCAAATGCGCCATGGCAACTGACGAACCGGCCCAACACGCCTCCCAAGACTTTACAGAGGAGGGGGCCATCGAAGTCGGTACGTCCAGTGGACCACTGCCTCTCGTGCGCTCATCACCTCCGCAGTGCCCGTTGAGTCTTTTTATAAGAACTCGCCACTTACCAAACATGGCATGGCCCACCGGCAGCCTGGGGCCAAGTAGACCAGTACGAGATAGTGCGCAAGCTTGGTGAGTGAGAAAGACGCTACATGCAGTTCCGGGGTAAGTTGTAACACTTCACCGAGCTTACAAGTTACACGCCGGGACCATCTTCAAGGCCGAGGTAGATCTTCCGAGGTCTTCGAAGGTATCAGACTAGTCGACTATCAGCGATGCGCTATCAAGTCGTTAAAACCTGCGGAGAAGACAAAAGTCGTCAACGAGATCAAGATGTTACAGACCCTACGAGGCGGGCCCAATATTATCCAACTGTGGGATGTTGTGGTTGACCCCAGGGTGAGTCCTTATCCGAACTCGATACTCAGGAGTCAAGTGTAATAGGGTGCCCCAAGGGAGCTGAGGTTTTATATTCACTCACTCCGTGTTACACAGAGCAACACAACGTCGTTAATTTTCGAGTTGGTGGATAATGTCGATTTCCGTTCCCTTTATCCACTCTTAGACGACAATGAAATCCGATACTACCTGAGAGAGCTCCTCAGAGCCCTCGAGTTCTGTCACAGCAAGGGAGTCATGCATAGAGGCGTGACGCCTCATAACGTCGTAATCGATCACTCGAAACGAAAGGTAAGGGCATGAGCACAGGGCACAGAAATCAACACAGTTCCCACATTGATATTTCAACTTCGTTTCCCCACAACGGAGAGGTTTCTGACTTTTCTCATGTTTTGAATAGTTGCGCTTGATTGACTTTGGCTCGTCTTCAACCTGCATGCCAGGAACGACGTACGACGTACGCTTAGGCCGAGTCTTTGGCGCTCCCGAGCTTCTCCTGGATTTCGAGGAATACGACTACAGCTTGGACATGTGGTGCCTGGGTGAAATGTTGGCATCCATGATTTTTAGGATACAGCCCTTCTTCCACGGCTTTAGCAGGCTGAATTGTCTCGAGCAAATTGCCACCACCTTGGGGACAAAAGGACTTCTCAACTACATCGAGAGATACGACATGGACGCACCTGACGTCGACGACATCCCAGTCCACGAAGGGAGGTCTTGGACTAGCTATGTCACCCACGAGAATGGGGGCCTGGCCAACGATGTTGCCATCGATCTCGTGGATAGATTGTTGCGATGGGATCACCAGGTCAGTTGCGCTTACCCACGTTTCGCTCGGGCTCAGGCTCAGGCTCAGTCTGCTCAGACTATTTAACACACTATTCAGGATCGCCTTACTGCGACCAAAGCACTTGAGCACCCTTACTTTGCTTCTCTTGAGGAAGGCACTAGGCTTTGAATTCACCTTCCCTTTTATCCAACCGAATCTTTGTCAAGGCGACTTCCAGTTGAGCCATCCTCGCAACATCCGAGGCGACAGCCTCGAAAATCTTATCAAGATCATCGCCTAAACCGATTTTCTGGGCAGTTTTGCGGCTTCGATTGTCGAGGAACGGCGCAACATTAGGGAAGAAATTCTGGATGGAACCGAGGAAGATGTCAGACCCGACCTGTCCCAGACCTTTGATTTCCTGCACCCTTTCTTTTAGAGCCTTGCGCGCTTCGTCCCCGTGCTTTTCTCTGGGAAGCATGTTCGAGGCATCGTTGTCTGGTGCGAGTGAGAGTCAGTCGTCACACGAAGTCAGTTAACTTCACACCCCCCGGAGTGTTTCGTCAGAATGCGCCAATGACGGCTTTTCTCAACTTCGTTTGCAGACGTACCATACTTCTCTCCCATGAGCTCAGCCAAGTCGCCCAAGAAATTCGCCGTCTTCTCTCTGTAGCGCGTGTATCCCCCCCTGGTCAGGATTTCGGTCCTTTGCTCCCAGGACGTTTGTTCCAGCACGCTCAGGTCATGATAGCTCTCCTCGATGAGGCATGTAAGAGTCGACATGGCGATATCATGTGAAATACGAGTGGACGAGAGGAGCGCGTTGAATATGTGTGCCATGACGACGTTACTCGCCGGCGTTTTCTCCTCCTCGACCAGGCCGTTCAGGGGAGGGCCTCCGTACTCGGCCAAGACTCGAGCCAGCAACTTTTTCGTGTCATGCCCTTCGGTCTCGGCGTGGGTCCCGCCTTTTGGCTGTCGCGCTTGCTTTACAGGTAAGTCATATTGGTGCATGTCTGTTCCATTTTCGTCCGCTTTCCGTTTCCGGGTCGGTGATGTTTCTGGTTTCTGCTGCTCCTGGGAGTCCCCTACGGCTCCCTTTTCAACTTGTTGTTGTCGGCTCCGTGTCTGAACCATTTTCCGAAGAATGTCTTGGGCAGGAAGAAGACATTATGTAAAATCCCGTGAAGTCTTGAGAGAGCTTGTTCTTAATTTCGTTCAATCGAAGTGAGATGATGACGAAAGGATGACGTTACGCCCCTTATAGTCTATTATTCGTGCCACTGAAGAGTAACTAATATACGCTGAATCAGAACCCATCAATCCTGTCATGTATTTTGCACAAAACATGGCTAATTCTTCACGTGCGGTAATATATGTTTTTGTAGTATGGCAAAGGCAAACCACAACCGTCGCGAACTGCGGTTCTGGCTCCTTTGGGGTTGCAAATGGGTTGTGCTGCTCGTCAAGTTCCCACTTCCGATTCCAGCGTGGGAATTAATACAATGCCAAGGTGAGTATGACTGTATGCCTCCAGGAATTCAGAAGCCTGTTCGTAGACTGTAGTCGTTGGCGTCGGCGCACAAGCGAATGAACCGGGAATCTACTCCGTTGGCTCGGGGCGTGCCGGTGCAGCGGGGCCCCGGGTCTTCAATGGTGCCTCCCCGACAGTTGGTGAAGCTGCAATAATAAGGTATCTACCTTACCTTAGGTAATCATCACCTCCTGATAAGGTACCTAAGTATCTACTTAGCCACAACGCCACAGTCCAGAAGCCCCCAAGGAATGTGGCGTCACCCGCCGCCGCCCACTTTTCCCCCTATTCTACGGAGTATTTCGTACGGTCCACCTATCCTTCATCAACCTGCTCTTGAGTGAGTTGAGTCTTCCTCTCACAATGCACACGAGCGCAATGCATAGATCTACGGCACACCTACCCAGTTAATTGCCGGAGCATCATCATGGCAGATCTAGACCAACTATTTGCTTACGACCGTGACACCCAGCATGAAGGCACACAACACTTGGCCGTCAACAACACCTTCATCCGCCGCTGGATTACTCTCCTCGCGCTCCGGATCACGGCGCGATTCTACAAGGCCGATGGCATTTGTGTCCCTATATCCAGGAATCTCATTGTGAAAAGGGGACCGTTCGTCCATCTCACTGAGGCCGCCACCATGGAGTTCGTCGCTGCCAACACGTCGATACCGGTGCCACGCGTGCACTGCGCCTTCATCCACAACAACATGGCTTATATTGTCATGGAGCGCGTCAGGGGACGGTCTATCGCCGGAGCCTGGAAATCGCTGTCAGAGGCCGACATGAAAAGCATCTTAACGCAGCTCCGAACCATGTTGCAGGAGCTTAGGGCCTTGCCACCGCCGCCCGGTGCCGGGGTACAGAGCTGCGTCGGGGGCTCTTTGATGGATTCCAGGATCCCTCATGCAAGACCCAGATTTGGCCCCTTCAGCACCATTCAGGCCTTTCATAAATGGCTTCGAAAAGACTACCGCCTAGAGGATCACCCGCCGATCAAGGACGATGGGGACAGGAAGGGCGTCGAGCTTATGATAGCGATGCAAGACGGGCCGTGGCCTCCCCCCGTGTTCACGCACGGCGACTTGAACCCCTCTAACATCTTGGTTCGAGGAGACCGTGTCGTGGGTATCATTGATTGGGAATTCGCGGGCTGGTATCCCCATTATTGGGAATATACCTCAGTGTGGTATGGAAACAGGCTTCGGCACGAATGGCAAGGCATGATTCCAGACTTCCTCGATCCTCACCCGGCGGAACTGCAGATGGAGATTACGCGTCAGAGGGGATGGGGTGACTTTTGAGTCCAGAGTGGGAATTCGGAATATCCCCAGCCGCATCAACGTTTCTCATTTCGACATGACTCGGGCTTCAATTCATGCCGAGTGCGACCAGACAACAAGAGGACCGAGCTCCTCGACTTTGGCAGCCCCTCCTCGCCTGCTCAAGGCACAACCTCCTTCCCTTCGAGCATGTCCAATGTCGGCTTGGGCATGGTCGGATCGGACCCGCTTGCGTACCGTCCCTCTGCAATTTTCTTCGCTACATAGTTGCGAGCCGCCATCTCGATCTTAGGCCAGCCGAGCTCCGCGGTACCAACAGCCCCGTCGTCCTCTGCCAGCCTGGAGAGAACTTGAGCAACCCACGTCCGGCAGCGCCAATTGGGGTCGTTCTGAATGACTGGTGTAGTGCGGATGATCTGAAGGAGTCGCTTCTCGTCCACTACCTTGGCGATCAGGATACGTGCGAGTAGGTTGACGGTGTTTCGCACATTTTGCAGTTCGACCTCCTCGTACACCCAGCCTGCGCCGAATGGGTTCTTCACGTGGAGACGGCGGCCAGGAACCTCGGATCTCTTTTCGACTTTGGGCCCGATGAGAAATCCCCAGTGGAACCTGCAGAATCGTAAGCGTTCTCCAGGTTCTCAATAGGAGTGAAGCGGAGGATTCAAGCCACCTTCTTTCTTCATTCTCGACAACTCCACTGGGGTACAACGCAATATACACACGCTTCTTTTCAGAGAACATGTTGAAGCAGCCTGACTGCTGATAGGTGCACGTTTTTTATTAGTGTCTCGCAGGAACTTGTTGACTAGTCGTCAATGGCAAAGAACGAATGCTGCTCCGCTGCTCAGCGAGGTTGATTCTCTTTTTGTTGGCTTCTCGATTCACCAGCTAGCGGGCACAGCATTATAAGTCGTCACAGCTACTCATACAGGAACTCAGAAATATAAGCCCGGCATTTCAGGACGACTCAAGTGCGTGCGGTTGGGATTTTCTATAAATGAATTGATCTGACTCGGGAGTTCTGGTCAATTGGCGCGCGCCACGGCTCACCACCGATGGGCCGACGGCTTGACATATGGGCCAACATTACTGCACAGAAACTGTCTGGGTCGCCGAGGGAACATTACTTTCAACCAACCCTGTTATCTTACTGGAGCAATTGTCTTCAAAGCGCCCAGCAGCAAAGTATCACCTGCATAATCTGCATGTACAGGTCAGCAAAGAGCTGACAGTATTGGGGCATTGAGGGCAGGATGCGTCACGTTGAGTTCCCCGCTGCCCCTACGCGCCAAGAGTCATCCGGCTTGCTGGGTCACGAATGCTATGCTATGATGGGTACTGGTCTATTCCTACACACACCATCGGTCCATCTCCATCGGCTAACCAAGTGAAGCACACAGATCGGGAACAAGTGCAGACGGCATAGCCACACTCGTGACTTCACTCACACAGCCTACCCCCAAAATCCCCGGACCCCAACCATCTTACCAAGAGTAGGCGTGGACTTCTAGTTCAAACACCGTGCTGTGTTTTCTTCCGGCCGCTGCAACAGCCGCTCTCACATGGTCGCACAGGCCGCCCGGCCCGCAGGCAACCACCCCGATTCTGGTCCACCCCGCCTCAACCTCCTGATTCAGGATAGCCTCGACATCGATCCTCTGGCCCCTCTTGACGTCCTTTTCGGCAACACCTTGCAACACTCCGTCCAAGGCATCGACAAGGCACCCGTCCCTCTCCTTGATGGACCAACAGAGCCTCGCGTTGGAATGCGCCTGGACCCAGGGCAAGACGCCCGTGATGCCAATACCGCCGGTAATCAGGAGAACGCGATCGCACTTTAGAACGGCCTGGACCGAGTTGTTGGGGTAAGGCCCGTCAAGCAAGGCGAGGAGTCTGCCATGGGTCGTCCGGAGGGACTTGGTCATTCCTTCGGATTTGCGCACGAAGAAAGTCACGCCGGCCGTGGTTCTGTGGGCAGGCGGTCCCTTGCTACATGTACCCAAGACTGTTACCGCCGGGCTTGCCTGGCTCTTTTCCACGTCATTCTGCTCCGAGTCGGCCCTTGTGCTGCTCGCTGCAGTGGCGTCGGCGGCGCCCGCGCCACACTGCTGTGTCGGGGGTCGGAACAGCGACGTGGGCAGCACGGAGAAGGGGTGGTTTTCCCATGGCCGCAGCGGGTTGAGGCCCGGGAAGTAGACGTAAGCGTGCTTTCCCGGCGCAGCGCCCCACCGGATGCCCTCGATGTCCACGCGAACGTGGTGATCTCCGACGTCGGTGACCTCTGCATAGCGGACGCCGGTCTTGAGGATCCGGCCGACGCGGACGAGGCGGTCGAAGAACCACACGGCGCAGGCGGCGTAGAGCCACGTGGTGTAGCCGGCGGAGATGTCGAAGCGGTAGATGACGTGGTACCAGCACCCGACGATGACGAAGACGGCCATGACGACGTGGCCGACGAGGAAGATCTCGTACGAGAGACGACGAAAGTAGCCGACGGAGGCGACGCACATCAGACAGGCCAGGACGGTGGCGACGACGCCCCAGACCCAGTAGTCGAGGACCGACTCGGCCTCGTAGATGCCCATCTCGGCGTAGACGGCGACGGCGAGGATGGTGTGCAGCAGCGCCTGCAGCACGAAGAGGCGGGCGATCCAGCGGTGCAGTAGCAGGAAGGTCGAGTGCGGCCAGTCGGTGAGCCACTGCAGGATGTTGTTTCGGCCGGCGAAGAGGATGAGCAGCGGGGCCATGGAGAATGATAGCACGCCCGTGCGGTACATGAGGTAGCCGGCGACCTGCTGGGAGGTGCTCTGGAACCATAGGTGGGCCGGCGTGGTGCGGTAGTCGACGGCGCTGACGATGACGTTTACGACGACCATGAGGCCTATGTAGAGGCCCTGGCCGATGGTCGGGGCGTTGCCTAGCTGGTACGGTAGGGGGCGGACTTGGTAGGTGCCGATGAGGCTCGGATAGACGAGGTAGGGGTTGATTCTGTCGTAGAGGGTGCCAATATAGGGGAAGCGCCCCAGCCAGCTAAGCAGGATGGGTATACCGAAGCCGGTGAGAAGGATTACGAGTCTGTCGTTGGGGCTACAGTTAGCTTGACGCGATAAACTCCAAGGACAAGGAGCTCGGGGGGGAAGGGGCAAAAAGGGGGAAGAAAGGGGGAAAAAAAAAGGAGTAAAGGGGTAAAAAGGGGGAAATGGGAAAGGTTGGAACAGTAATTAGGAGCAGTAGACACTTATAACTTACCCAAAGATGGACCCGTTCCTGGTTTCATGGTAGAGAGTGGTCTGCGTGCCGTACAGAACGGACCAAAACTCAGGGGTGCGCACCGTTGCGTTGATGGTATCCCCATGGCCGAGCTCGCGCACGGGGGGCTCCTCAACAGTCCGCAGCGCCTCGGTATAGCTCCATTGGGGCGGCACCGCCGGGTCGTCTGTGCTCACGCGGAACCAAAACTCCTCGATCTCGGGGGTGGATAGTCCTGCATCGGCGCACTTGGTGCTGATGCACCAGGCGAGGGAGCGGAGGAAGTGCTCGTTGCCGGCGCGGCATTCGGGCGAGGTCATGACGTGGGCGTGATGGTGGCCTCCTGCATCGTCGTCGTCGTCGTCGTCATCGTCGTCGTCGTTGTCGTGGTGGTGGTGACTGGAGTCGTCTTCGTGGACGATGGAGCAGTCGAGTCGGTAGGTCGCGAGGGAGTTGTAGCAGGCTTGGGCGCAGAGGGGGTTCTCGGGGAAGGTGTCGATGCCTGTGAGGCCGACGGCTCGGCAGGGGACGGCGGCTGTCAGGGCGAATACGACGGATCTGGGACGCATTGTGGTAGGTTTTGGCGGCACCGGGCCAGAGAGTATGGGGCGTTGGTGGTTTGGTCGAGGCCTATAGCCTATTTGTAGACGCTTGGTCTTAGGTCGTTCAAGCGGGCCGTAGAAGCTCAGACTGCTCAGCTACAGTCAGGCTTTGACTTCCTGGACGAAAAAAGACCTCACGTCTTCTTGAAACCGTCGGAAATGACTATATTTTGACCAAAAGCTTCGTGTGGTAAGGGGTGATCGACATAACTTATAAGAAACTGCCTCGTTTGGAGTCGTTCCAGGGGGTCCCGGCTCCACGACACCGCATTTCCCTCTCGGGAAGGGGCCGCGTATGAATTATGCGTTACCGGACAAACACATCACACGCATCATATAAGTCACTGAGCTTGTGGTAGTAATGAGAAGATTAAGATTGGAGAGAGGTTGGGACTGTTGGGTATGGGTTGTCCAGGGGGGTGGGCAAAGGGTAGGGTCACCATCTTGGCCGTACCCGGCATTTGAGAGGATTTGAGCAAGTTATCAACCACTTCCCAGACAACATACGGATACATCCATGTGTTAATTAGCGTAGCCCCTTGCAGGGTGTCACCCGGCCGCACCCTGCGTGACTTTGGAGTTCCCGTCTCTCGGGGCCGCTAGCAACGTTCCCGGAGCGGCCCCCGGGACAGTCCACATTAATTAATAGGTAATCTAGAGGAGGACTTTCTTCCCGACACCTTGGTCTTGATCGGGACGCAGGATAACTGGGCCGATATGTATACAGTACAGTATCATCCCAGTCTTACCAACTCGGCGTTCCTCAACTTCCTCGTTGGTTTTCCCTTTTTATTTTTTTTATTTTTTTTTACTTTACTTTTCTTTTTCTCAATTTCCAATTCCAATTCTCTTCCCTTGCCCCCCTTGCCACCATACCCAAAAGACAGCAATGAGCAATGGAAACAGTCAATTTACACAAAGACAAACCCCCTGATATACTGAGCCCAGCTTTGTCCGCCATTGTCTCAATCGTTTGTCTCTTGTCCAGATGAAAATAGGTCCGTCCGATCGAACAATAAACCGAACACAAGTAACAAGGCCGCTTGTAAAAACGTAAATCGCACCTCTTTGTTCGGTGTCTATTGTATATGCAGGCCAAGCTGCCGCCTTCAGACCTCGAATTCAAAGGATCTTTATTCTGCATGGGTGCCGACGAGCTCTTTGTCGCCATGTCGAGAATTTCCCAGTGGTCGGTCGTTATGCTTCGCCGATTCAACAATCGTGTCTTGATCGTTATAAAGGCTGAAGTCCATCAGACTGCAGATGGAAAATCCAAGCACCACACGCAGCATCACCACGCATCCCGGTCCAGCAGCCCCTTTATCGGTTCTCTCTCCCCATCAGATTCCAATATCCCAACAAGACATCGGTCGATCTCCAGCGAACTCGGTTCAAATGACACCCGCAAAGGCGCCGACGCACACCCCGGGCAAATCTGCCGTCGCGAAACACAACTCGAAGAAGGGTCAGACTTCGGGCGCCCAGGTGCGTCCGGCCCCGCAAGCTCACGGCCCCAACCGGCGACACACCCGCGCCTCAGCCCGAGCGACCGGCGAAGAAGTAGTCCAGGGCCTGGACCAGCGCGGACGGCCACCCCCCGAGGCGTTCCAGGTCGTGGGGATACCCGGAGCACAGGAGGAAGAGGTGATGATGCCGCCGGGAGAGACACATCATCCTCCGTCCACACCTTCTCCTCCCCCTAGTCTCGCCTCATCTGCCAGGTTCTCCGCCAATATGTCCCCTTCACCCCCGTGGGCCTTGGCTACTCCGCCCAGGTCTTCCACCCTTTCATCTTCGGCCCCATCGATTTTCTCTCTGCCATCCCGCTCTTCAAGTGAATCAGCCCCGACTTCTCTCTCTGGATCGTCCACATCCGCGACTTGGACCTCGACCTATACGACGTCGTCGTCTTCGGGTCAGGGGGTGTATTCCCCATCTGTTTCGAGTACCGTGTCGCTCTCGGCATCCCAGCCGGAAGCAGATACTCTGCCAACATGATTCGAAGTTGCCAGAGAAGATTCGTAGCGATAGGGGTGGACCGTAAGAAGATTCGTATTTGTTCCGGACAGAGTCCGAATTCTCAGGTGGCAGTTGAAAGGATCAGTGACCCGGATACGGAGCGCAAGGGGTGCCGGTATGCACATATGCCTGTACCAAGAACCACTGTGTAAATGAATGATAAAAGGTAGCCGCATTCTCTTTCATGGCCGGTTGGAAAGCACCTCAAAGGTGAGCGGGGCAAGCGGATATTTCGGGGTTTTGATAGCCCAAGAATCGTAAAATCGAAATTTGGGGTTTTTTTCTTCTTCTTTTTGATACCTCATCCAAACATATCATCATCTTCGTCATCCTCATCCTCATCACGGGCGCGGCCCTCCTCTTCCTCTTCGCGACGGGTCGCTTCAGCGCTGGCGCCCAGCCTGCGCACGCCCTCGACGACGCCGAGGATGAAAGCGCGGCTCTCGGCCAGCTCCATGGCGCCGACGCCGCGCAGGTGCAGCACACCGCCGACGCCCTGTTCCAGGTCGGCCGTGCTTTTCCGCATCTTGGCCGCGCGGATCTCGTGGAGGTCGCGGAGGAGGGAGCGCACCTCCGAGGCCGAGGGGATGTCGTCGGCCGCGTGGGCGAGGAGGATCTCGGCGACCTCGAACCAGTGGTACGGCAACGCGCCGGCGGGAGCATCGGACGTGCAGGAGGAGAGGAAGGGCGGGGAGAGAGCGACGTCGTCGTAGGCGGACGGCCTCGTGGGGTGGTGGGCGTTGCCGCGGGCGTCGGCGCGGGCTGGCGGTGGTGGTGGCGGGGAAAAGGCGAGCGGGTCTACTTTCACCTCGTGGTGGATCACGCCGCGGAGCGAATCTGGGTGTAGCCACGGTGGGGGGACAATGTTTGCTCGTCGTTGTTTCTTGAGGAGGAGGGCTAGCCATAGAGGGAGGTTGGCGCGGTATGGGGGGCGGAGTGTAGGAGTTTGACCCTAGCGGTTGGTAGTCAAGAGTTTTGCGTCAGTTTAGGGTGCGAATAGGAGGGGAAACAAAGGAGCTGGGAACCAGCTCACCGGATACTCACACTTAGAAGGTCAATGGTATCAAGCCTTTGCCGCGGCACTACCGTCACGGATTCCATTTCGCAAAGGAATCCGACCTCGTTGGGCACGAGGCCGGAGGGGAGTGGGAGAGCCATGTGTCGGGAATTGTCGATAATTAGCTTCAATCGTCGCGCCGGCCCCCACGAGGTTGACGGAATATAAGGGAGGAGGAGGTGAATTGAGGTGATTGGCCTGCCGGGGAAATATGGCTCTCGATCGCGGGGTGAATGCCGTACGGACTCGGTCGAGGACGAGGCCAGAAATTCAAGTCGCGACGCGGGGCACGAAACATCCTGGCCAAGACACCCGGATGTCAACTGGAGGCAGCCGTCAACGAGTGCAAATCAGCGTTCAAATGAGAGACGCCATGATTATATAATCAATCTCGGGTACATGTATCACCAGGCTTAACTGTACCTTATCGGGGTTGTGTGATTTTCTTCTGTCCTCGGTACGTACCCTTTCATCCTCGCATCATCCCCTGCTCGATTCTCCAAACAAAAAGGCATCAATGTCAGTCAGTCGTGGACCCGTGGTGTGGTATATTACTCGATTGCAACTTCTTACCAAGCATGATCATTGTTCCAAAAGTCATCTACTCTCTCTATATTATTAACCAAAAACACACTCGATACATAGGAACAAAGGAAAAAAGGGGGAAAAAAGAAGAAAAAAAGAAAAGAAGAAAAAAAGGAATAGTTTAGACAAGACTCACTTATTAACAGTCACGATGCATTTATGATGAAATGAGAAGTGGGAGTGAATTTGGTTTATTGTTCTATGAACTCTGAACGCGGTCCAGCGCGTTACTTCATGACCTAAGAATGCGATCCAGCGCATTCCATAATAGGTATATGGTGTGATGCAACTCAAGGTTGATCAACTCGGCTCCTATGCACGTAAATTGAAAAGGAGGATACGAGGATATGACAACAACTTACTGGCAGTTCATGCTGCAACGGTCGCACAAGTTGCCGCCAGGGTAGGTGACAAGCCGACGGCAGCCGCAGTCGCAGGTGCAGATGCTCACAGACTCGTTGACAGGAGCGGGAGGGTTCTCCGCCTTGTTGGTTGAGGGAGTGGTGGTGCCAGCCTTGGCGGCATTGACAGGAGTAGAGATGGGAGTTGAAGAGCACATTTTTGCGTCGTGGAAGTGTTGCTTTTTGCTTTTTGTTTGGTGTTGTTTAGTCGGTGTGGACAAAGAGTGTGTGATAGTAGTTGAATGCTGAAGGCTGATGAATGCTGGATGGTTGAGAGTGAGTTTGTTGTTGAGTTGAGGCTCGGGTCTGCTGCATTTATAGATATTTCTCATGAGCGGACAGTCGCCATATTTGTGATCATTAGGTCAAGTTCTGGCGCCGTTGATCAGGAATAGAAACGCCTATATTGGTCTTGTGCGGACAAGGCATTGTTCACTCGGATGCAAAGCCACTGACTTATACAAAAGCTTTGTGTTCAGTCTTCATTGTTGGCTGAAAGAAACCCTATCATCATCCGTTGCTGAGATGTCACTCAACAAAGTACATGTGTTCAATGAGAACAATCCTGCTCTCTCATAAAAGGAGCTCTGTCAAAGGCGGAACATAGCAAGTATAACCGTACGCGTCTTTCGATTCTGTTGCCCAGCACCTCCGCTTCTCCAATCCACAACATCACATAACCATCTCAAACATCGGCGAAATGAATCACCCATCCCTCCTTGCGGAGAATCCAACTATTTCCGTCAAAGACCTTCCACCGAATGATTCCGCAGCTTTCAAGTACTCTTCATTTTTTTCTCGAAACAGGCCTCACAGCAAATTACCGGCCCCGGCGCAAATCCGCGAACGTGCTTTGGAGCTTGATGCGGCGGCTGACTGCTCGCCCCGTCCAGCCCCAGTTCGCTACGAGGACATTCGGCTCTTGGTCAAGTTTGGACGAGAACCTGATGTGACTGAAGGCGAAGCACAATGCTTCTGGGCACTGCGCCGCGTTCTACCTCAGGTCCCTGTGCCAGAAGTCTATGGTTGGACTCACGATAAAGACCAGGTCTTCATCTATATGGAGTTGGTGCGTGGGTTCACTCTCGAAGAAGCCTGGAACTCGATGAGCAGCGAAGAGAAAGTCGATATATGCCAGCAGCTTAAGCTCTACATATCAGAGCTACGAACACTTCGGCATGCTCCTGGCGAATTCTTCCTCGGTAAGAATATATCCTAACCTACCTTACTTTGAAAGGTAGTTTCTGACTAATGTTCACTCACCCAGGCCATATTAACTACGAACCTCTAGGTTGCATAAGCTTTATGAATGGGACAAGACCTCCGGCGGGTCCGTTCAACTCTGTTGCCGAGTTTCATGACTGGATGTCTTTGATGACCAAGGCCGGAATGGAACACAACTGGCCTGGCTATACGACAGAAGAAATCCCTGATCCTCTCCGGAAAGAATTGCCAGATGATTCCCCCGTCGTGTTTACACACGACGACCTCCATCCCAGCAACATCATTCTCTCAATCACCCAGCCGCGGCGGATAATCGCCCTTATCGACTGGAGGCAATCGGGTTGGTATCCTGATTATTGGGAGTTCTGCAAAGCAGTCTTTACCGTTCCTGGTGATGGAGAATGGGCAACAGAGTACATACCACGATTTCTGGAAGAGCCTAACTGTCTGGACACGTGGGAGTGGTATTCGAGGACTTTCGGGTATTGACAACATAGAGATATAGAGCAAAGCAGTGGTTGACGTAAGCTCGACGTGCACTCATGCCGGCCCACTGTGAATTGTGAGTACATGGCGTGGAATCAGGTCCGTGGCAACCAGCTCTTCCGAACGCTGAAGGCCGAAGCTATGTATAATACGCCCATGGCCCTACTGCGCCGACGACCGACGGACGGCGGCGGCGTTGGGTGAGCATCGGTTTCTGGCGGAGGCATTAGCCAGTCATCCTCGCCGGTGTACTGGTCTCCTGCGTAGGACGAAGTTGCTACCCGGCGTCACAAGAGGCCACACGAGAGGCCGCGCGCGAGGCATCCTGTACGTCATGCAACGAGCGTCGACTCAACGGGGAGTTGGAAATGCCGACAAACAACGAGAGTGCAAGGGTCCAACAGTGACTTTGAGCTGCCCGCAGCCCCGCTCAAAGTCCTCAGGGAGGATCACCATCAGCTCAGGGTGGCTCACCCACAGCTCAGGCCAGCTCAGGCTAAAGCAGCAGAGGCTCAGTTCCAGGACCGGAAATGGAAATGCTGTGTGTCGGTTTTGGGGTCGTGTATAGTGTGTTTCACAACACTCAATTTTATTAACGAATCCAAGAAGCACAACGTCGCTAACGATGTTGGCAGCGACTTTCTATCCACTATAGAGAGCACGAGGACAGCGAACACAGGAATAGTAATATGGCTGGTTGGAGTTGAGCCCACATGTATCCTGCAACCTATGGACGCACTATGCAGGCCTCACTAATAGTTCTGCCCAAGCACTGGAGAAAAGAACCTTTTTCCTGTCGCGGGCTAGTCTATAGTATCGAAGATTCCCACGTACTTGAGTTAATCATTATTCAGAACCCATGGTGGTTCGACTACGCGAGTCCGTACCCTCCAGTGAAAGGCGTTTTCTTCGAGTCATTCCAGTACTTGTCTTCTAACTCCATCAAGATCGATGACGATGTTTTCATTGTTCGGACATCGGTCATACGGTTGGGAACAAATGGTCGGTCTAGGCCTCCTCTCGTGTCTCAACCCGATTTCATCTCCTTTACTGGATTACTCCAATCGTCTCAACTATATTAACGGCACTGTTTTCATGAAATCGGGGCAAATTGGCAATTAATTATACGGAGCCAATGGTCCGTCTGATCAGCCAGAGGCCGGCCTAGCTCTGGTACTGTGTCGGATCCGACCTTTTCTTACATCCACTTTGTAAAGATGCCGGTGAATTTTGAAAGCTGCTACATCGAAAAGGGGTCCATACCCCAATCTTCCATCTCAAAGACGTTCGTCTTGCGGAAACAGATACGTATGTTTGCCGTAATGGTTACCTTCATCAGACCTCGACGGGTGCTACAGCCTACGTCGCGACAGTTTGAATTTGACCCGGCCCTGACTATCTCATGCTAGAGGGAAACAGTACTCATGGTCATAGCAGCCGCAGGCCTCCTCATACATCGAAGTATTCCTCGCACCCCGTTGTGGACTCGTATCCTCCCACGAAAACCTCCCCACTGCTTCGGAATACAACTGCGTTATAGTGGGATACTGTGGTGTTAACAACAATGCCGATAGGCCCTACATCTTGCACATGTCCTATTTATCATATCAACCCGGCCCAGGTAAGGTCGCTGGTGTGAATATGTCCATCCGGAGGCTGCCCATGATGAATACGGCTTAGATCTTTTCTTGGCTCCCGTCAACGTCCAGATGGTCAAAGGTTGGCGAAGATTGTCTGCTGGTCTGACCGACCTTCGATGTCAGAATCGGCACTCGACAATTGAGTGTAACTGTGCAGCTGCTACTCACACGAAGCGAAGCCCTGGAGTACAAAAGCCCCCCAGAATGCCAGACAGCCATATAATACCCCTGAATTCCCCTCTTCATTGCCATTACCAGTAGATCATTCCATACCCAGAAGGTTCCATTGTTTGTTTAGGTGTCACCGCAGCCGACTTCGAAAATGCCCGACCTCAGCCACTTCTCGCGTTCCAGCCGGATGAACAGTCTTACCCAGAATATGAGACGGATATCGAGTGCAAGACGCGCTGGCCAGGGCCCTCTCCCGACCCTTTCCCTCCCCGATACTATGCGGAACAACATAGTTGCCACGATAGGCGAATTCGTTGGGACATACCTCTTCCTCTTCTTCTCCCTGGCCGGTGCCCAGATTGCCAACACCCCCCAGCCGGCCGACGACGCGCCCCCGAATCCCGCCGCACTTATCCTCGTCAGCTTGGCTTTCGGTGTCTCATTGACCGCCAATGTTTGGGCTTTCTACCGCATCACTGGTGGTTTATTCAACCCTGTCGTATGTCCTGTCCATTGCGACTTGCTTTTTGGGACCCTGCCCCCCCCCCCTTTTTTTCTTTTTCTTTTTCCACGACCGATGGATAACATTCCCTAGGTCACTCTCGCTTTAGTGCTCTGCGGGGGTCTTCCTATCATCCGTGCCATATGCGTCGTGCCAGCCCAGTTGATAGGCGGCATAGCTGCCGCCGCCGTGGTATCGGCCCTGTTCCCGGGGGCTAACCTCGTCCTCGTGTGCTTTCGTTCTTTTTTTTCAGGCACCTATTTCACTGGCGGCTCCCTCAATCCGGCTCGCTCTCTTGGCCCCGCCGTGGTCAACCACTCGTTCCCGGGGTATTTCTGGATCTACTGGGTGGGCCCCATCTTGGGATCGTTGCTGGCCTGCGCCTTCTACACCCTACTTCGCGCTCTGCGCTATCAGGACTGTAACCCCGGACAGGACTCGGATGGCGAACTAGAGGACAAGCGTAGTCATTCGCCGCCTGAAGAAAATGGGCATGCCGCATAAGCCTGCTGGCCCATCCCAGGTGTGACTCGTGAGTTGTCCCTTACGATCAAGTTGAAGCGCTGGGAGTCTGAGACAATGTTCAGGGACAGACGGAGCACGGAGAATCTCTCTCCACGGGAAATGAAGTTTGGAAGTTGGTGTTGAGCCATTGAATTCCGAGTGCTATGGTCGTCAGTGGGCAAAATGACAAAGACGGCAAAATTTGATAGAGAGGAGCACGAGGGGCATTGCATAATTTGCATTCATCAGCGAAAGGTCCATATTGAATGGGTGGCTTTATATGGCAGGAATGACTGATATGTTGCCAAGGAGGATTTTTGCGAGGTTGGCGGAGCAGGGAGTGATAATACGGAAATTCCAATTTTTGCGAACCGCCAAAAGTCGTTGCTCTCGACCGTGTAGACTATTGGGCGAGAAAGGAGGGTTCAAGGGATAAATTGAGGTCTCAGTCCTGTTCAACATCTCAGTTATCATGTGCTTCCTCTTCGATGTGCCACGCCGGGAAGACCGAAGACCCACCCCGCAGCACTCGGCCGATCGGCGAAGTGGGGTACGTCCGGCGCGGCCTGGAGATCGCCCCAGCCTGGCCAATGATTTCCCAGGGGCCCGTCAAATCCATACTGCAGAGACCGGATGTGCTAGGACTTGTTAGGACTTGACTCCTCGAGTTCAGCTCAACTGTTACTGCATGTGCATTTCAATGCATGGATCCACGCACGAACGATGATTCCGGGATCTCCAGACAACTCGCGTCCCATGCCTCCTAGCCCAAAAGCAGAGTCATAGCGTGTCAAACTCTTCCGGCAACTGCCTCTCTTCAATCCAAGCAAGTACACCTTGTGCAAAGAGCTCTGGCAATTGCAAATCCCAAGTATGCAAAGCCTCGCGCACAACTACAGCGCGGGAACCGTCATCGGGTTGCCTCTCGCCATCCTCCGCCACCCGATTTCTGAGCACCTCGCCCACCTTGGTCGTACCAAGAACGTCATCCTGCCGACCACCCGCAACAAATAACGCCCTAACGCGAAGCTGTCGTACCTGCTCAAATCCCAGCTGCAGTATGGACCCGTAGACCTCTCGGATGGTCTGCACCTCGAGGTTCGACCGCTGGTCTGCCAACAGCGCATCATGCCGCTTCAGTCCCGTCGCTGACGCGGTGTACCAGTACAGCGGTGCGGGAAGCCAGTTTATGAAAGCACTGAGAAGGTAGTAGATGAGGCCTGGACGTTCGGCCATCCACCTCGTCCAACCTTGGAACGGCGAGGCGCCCGTGACGAAGAGGGAGAGGGCTAGGGACGGCGAGTCGAGAGCCAGACGCTGTGCGACGTAGCCACCCATGGAAAGACCGACGACGTGGGCTTTTGCGCCTTTCGCATGCGCTTGGATCAGCTGAGCGACGTGGACGGCGGAGATATCGATGGATGCGGGGCCGAGTGAACGGGATCGGCCATGGCCCGGAAGATCGGGGACCAGAAGGTGGTAGTTCGAGAGATGCGGGATGACGAAGTCCCATTCTAAGCTGGAAGAGGTGGCGCCGTGCAAGAGGACGATGGTCGTTGGGTTGGACTCGTAGAGGGAAGTGAAGGCGATAGTGTCTTGATTAGAGTCACCCTGCAGGGCCATGGTTCCTGGTTGCCTAGTAGAGGCTAGACGGGAGGACGGTGGACCGAGCAGCCAAAGGCAACGGGCGAGAAAAGGGCAAGTTGTTTAATGGACTCGACACCTGATAGTCTCTAGCCCCATAGGGCCGTCGTTCGAATTAGGACTTTGTCAGGATCGAAGATGGCTGGACGTTCTGGGCAGCCAGGGGGCAGATATATGAACTCAAGTGCGTTGGCAGTTATTTACGGGGCGCTGCAATATACGACGAGTGCAGGAGACTAACACCCAATTGGCCTAGAACCCCGTGCCCTGTAAGTACGGTACCCGGCGTGGCCCCGCTAACCGACTCCCCTGACAGCCCGCCTATAATTACGTACCGTCTCCGGGGGAGCTTCATATTGGTACATACCCAGGTACTTTACAGCCACTCAGAAGCGCATATTCTTTCAAACAGTTCGTAATGGCGAGCGCCCGTGTTGAAACCAAAGGCGCCCTCTCGATTATCCCAAACATTTGCGCGTCTGCAAAGTGCAGGGAGCATCTGCAATGGCCATCATTTGCGATGCAAACAACGCCTTTTGCTCCCTGACCAGCCAGGACAGCATAACTCTCATTTGATGTGAAAGGACTGTACGCGACAGCATATTCGCCTCAATTTCGAAACCTCGCAACGGCCTCTTCCATGGTCATCCCTTCATGAAGGCCTTTGAAAACCTTATGATCCACTTCGGCGCGTTCTTCACACATGGTAATAACACGTTCAATTAAGGAACGGGGTACAACCGCGACGCCATCCACGTCGCCAACGAGGTAGTCGGCAGGGTGGATCCAGAGATCTCCCTTGAATTGCAGTGGGACATTAATCTCAGACGCCCGACTGAAGGTGTTAGAACCGAGAATGGAGGTATCTCTGGCGAATACCTGCGCCACCCATGAGCCATGTTAGCAGGCTGCAGGACCCTAGCTCCACGAAAAGGGATGGACACTCGACGCGACATACCAACGACCCAGGCTTTAGAAACGAAAACGTACCGGGATATCCTTCTCGCGATGTTCCTTCAGATCCCGCACCCGGCCATCCACCACAACACCCTGAGCACCCAGGAAAGCCGCTCGCGTAGACATCAAGCCACCCCAGCAGGCTGAATAGAGCGCCTTGGGCTGCTGCACATACATGACCTTCCCGACCTCATTATAGTCGGCAAAATGACGCGCAGGTTTCGGCGCGCTGGTGTCGCTGGCCGCCACCATCTTCACCGTGACAGCCGGTCCGACCATCTTCCTCGGCCCCGCACAGAAAGTGGGCGACCACATCCGAATGCCGTCGAGGAAGCCGCCGTACGGGTATTGAAGCTCGACGAGCGCATCCGCAATCTGAATCGGGGTTAGGCCACTCTTCCCATTAAGCTTCTTCATCCAAGTAGAACACTGACGTCACAACTAGTGAACCGGGCTAGTCGTTTTGTGACCGACGATGCCATGGCTTGGGTGGGGTTGATCCGTTTGACGCGAGACGACAGGGGGGAACTTGTAGTGTAAAGTGTTTGGTGATGAAAATGGTCACCAAGTCAATTGAGATGCTTCTTTCCTTTCCTTTTTCTTTTTTTTTCTTTTTCTTACTTTTTCTTATCCCGATGGACGTCACTCCGGTGTCACTGTTCTTTGACTCTTACAGATATTACCTAATTTCGGTTCCCAAATATTTTATCTAATCGGCTCTGCCCATGGCCTGTCAAGGTCTCGAACCTGCTAGTCCGCTCACCAACTTACAGCCCGCGCCTAGCGACTCACTAACTCCCACTGGTAAAGTGCTCGGCCTTCCGACCTAAAACGTCTCTCTGTCTCCTCTGGGTCTTACTGAACCGCTCAAACGGTGGAACCTGGTCCGGCGTCGCAAGTTCCACCGGAGACTGTATTCCTTCTCCGGGCAGTTCGGCGCTTATCGCAAGGTTCCCCGGTAACTCGGCGTCGGCTTGTTTTGAGTGTTGTTGTTGATGTTGTTGGGTCCGGGGTTGAGCGGCCGATCCGACGTAAACAACGTCGGAAGCTTCCGGTGCACTACTTTCGGTCTACATGTAGCAAAGGGAAGGTTAGTACTGTCCTCTATCCATCTTTGGCACTCTACTCGCAGAAGGGACGGACAGGGTGGGTCTTGAGGATGGTCACAAAAGAGGAAGACAGGCTAATCACGTACCCGATGGGTTGCTGGAATCTTCTTAACCCAGGCTGTTGCCTTTGAAGCATCAGCCCAGGCCAGCACCACGGATTCCTCCTCGGCCAACGTCATAAACGCCATGGAAAACGAAGCCGATTTCGCCGTCAGCTCCTTAGATGTCGCCTTCTTGACGATTTCCACGGGGCTCGAGTCCAGGTTGGAGACAAGGTATAGGTGCCCCTTGTCATTCACCATGGCCAACTCCCTGCCTGAAGGTGAGAAGGCGGCGCACTGTATACGACTTCCGAGCTTCCCCTGACGGCAGGACGGCTCGGTCTTGATCTCGCTCTTATGGCCGTCTTGGGGCTGGATCAGCACGGGTGTGCCGGACTGAGTCCAAGTAGAGATGCAGACGAGGTTCTCGGCTTCGTGGGCCGGCCCCGGTCGGAATATCGCCGACGTCACCCCGTTATCCTCTGACTCGTGGAGCGGGACGGGGTACCGGCACGTCACCAGCTCCTGGAAGTCCAGAAAGGGGAACCGCGAAAGGTACACTTGTATTGTGCCGTTCTTGGCACTTCTGGTGCTGGCAACGAGGGACAGGCCGTCGTCGGAAAAGGCCAGAGTGTCGACGGATGGGGATGCGCGGCCCTCCGGGTGATAATGATCGTGTAAACGGAATTCTTGGGGTTGTTCCGAGTCTGTTGTGGTTTTGAAGGAGCGGACGACCGAGTTCTCGAAGCCTACGACGACGTTTTTCTCTTGCGGGTCGATGGCGATGCTTTTGCACCAGGGCGACGAAGGTATGCGATACTCGACGGCGGGAGATGACGGCTGGACGAGGTTTACAAGACGGACCTAAAGGTGCGGACGAGTCAGTATGATTCGTGAGCGGGCTATCCTACTCCTCAGGATGCTGAGCTGGGTACGGGGTTGGGGTTCTTGCCGTCAGTTTCTGGTCCCTGGTCCCGATAATGTAGGCCAGATAGCGTTGGCCGACTGCAGCCAGAATGCAAGTACTCGCAGTAGAGATTGACCGAGCCATGGTGGGAGGGGAAGTGCCGACGTCCCATAGTTGTATGGAGAGTTGTGTCCAAAAGAGCGCCAAGGTCGAACTCCGCGAGAGGTGGACGTTGATGATGTTTTTCGCCGTTTTGCTTTTGCTGCTTTTGCTAGATGTCTTTTGACTTGAAACTAAAGGTCCCAACGGGATCTCCTCCAGCTTGTGATCCTCGGCTGTTGTGGACGACAGAGAGCTCGAGTCTCCTCCCGAGACAGCCACCGAAGGCTGTCTCCTGGACGAGCTGGTGAAGGGCAGTTTCCAACGCGACTTGGCTTTCTCGGCGGTCCTTGGTGAATGCATGCCAGTGGTATCGGTAGGGGAAAGAAGCGACGACTGGTCGCTGGCGGCATGGCTTGGTTTCAGGATATCGGCGAAACCATGGGCAAACGGGGCCGGCCTTGTAAAGTGGACAAGGTTCTTGGCTTCGGGAGGGTCCGCTGGCTGTTGTTGATGTTGTTGTTGTTGTGGTTGTGGTTGTGGTTGTGGTTGTGGTTGTGGTTGTTGAGAAGAATCGGAGATACTGCCCTTTCCATGAATGTTGGCGGAACTCTGACGTGCTGAAAGGCCATTACACTGAAAGGCATCGGGTGAGAAGTACGTGGCGGCGGTGGACAGATGAGCAGGAGGAGACGAGGCCGCTTGAGAGTCAGAGCGGGTGTAATGCGAGGCGGAGCTCGAGTCTCCCGAGCTGCTCAAAAGACCTTCAACGGGTCTCCCCCCTCCTGAGCCTCGTCTAACACCTACTCCGCCTGCGTCAAGCCTCGGCGGGCCCGTCTGAAATTGCGCCGGCAGGTGTCGCTCGACGTTGATGGCCTCGACATCGGGCTCGAAGTGGCGAAGGCGGTCCCACGCTCTCCTGGCTAGGGACACCTCACGGGCCAAGGTCACGGTTTGGCCGCAGGTAGGACAGCTGGAAGAAGAGGGGATGCGGATCTCGAGGGACTCTCCAGGGTCGAGCTGGCAATGGAATAGAAGTGAGCAGTGAGCCACAAACAATTTCATCTTGCTATTTATCCACTGTCCACGGTTTTCACACGACGTACCGGAAGCTTGAGACCATCCGACCTCAGTTGTGTTCCTCCGACCACATGGCAAGCCGAGCAATTCAGCACGTATAAGCTGGGATGAGCCGTGATGGGACATTGGCCCCCGGACGGGTCATCCTGGGCTAGGATTTCCCTCGTGACTTGGGTCACGGCGTTGGCGAGGTCGACGTCGCTCACGCGGTGGATGGCCTGTCGCTGGCTGAGCCTCTCACGGAAGTGGTTCAACGCGTCAAGCTCATCATCGTCCACGTGCGAGCCATTGGAGGCGCGCCGCGAAACGTCAAGGGTGTCGGGGAGGATGATACGGAAAGTCGCATCGAAGGTGGCTAGGAGGTCGGTCTTTGAAAGGGGACGGGGGAGGCGAAGGTTGTTGGCGGCGTTGAGGACGGCGTTGCGAACCTTTGCCGACGACGTCTGGAGCCGCAGGTCGCGGGACTCCTGGTTGGCGGTGTACTGGATGGACGCACCGACGACGAAATGAGAGACGTCGCGCAGAGCTAAGAACTGGGCCAGCCAGTCGACTGGGAGTTCGTAGCTTGGCACGAGGTCTGAAATGTAGGGGGGCAGCAAGCAACGTGGAAGGGGATACTAAGAACACCGAAAAATGAAAAGAGGTTAGGGCGGGGCAGGTACTAATTAATCAACATGGGTTCTGGACCAGACAGAAGTCCCGCAGAGTGGAGAGCTCAGAGGGGAAGGGGAAACACTGGGGTCTCAGGGGGGGG